TCCAGTCCACACTTCCTCAGTTTAGCCGTGGAGTGTTACCATTTAGAGTGGTTATTCTTCCCCTTCATTCCCCATCCATGAGTTATTATAGGGAATTATTTAAGGAGGCTCTAGGAATTCTTTTCTGTAATTATTTTATCCACCCTAACTGGTGGCCTCTTGCCTGCCTATAGACTAGTATTTGCCATTCCATGACCATTTTACTACAATGGTATTGACTCATGTGCAGTTTCTTTGAGAGTCTGGTTTGTTTCCTTACCAGGATTTGTACTTTTACCTCCTCTTTACTGATTCTCAGAACCACTCAGAATGAGCCTAGACATAGCTGCTAGTGATATTCCATTTTTTTTTGGTCCAAATGGTGCTGTGCTATATGCCTAATTTGTTGTTTGTTATAATTACGCTTCTGCTTTGAAACACCCCACTGTGCAGAGAGAAAAATAATGCAAGGAAGAGGTTTTTTTCTCTGATTCTGACGCTGGCATATCTTGGGGGGTGGGAGGGCTGCAGACAAGGGAGGTGACTGCGTAGAGTTATGTGGATAGATGCAGTAAATGGCCTGGATGAGGGAATACAATCTTCCTAGTTAATTCTGCAAAGTTTTGGCCAAAATGATACTCATCTCTCTGGGCTGTCTGTTTGCAATCTTCTGTGTCAGCACTGAAGCTAGGCATTTAGCCCGAAACAGTGATAAATCGATATATGCCCATTTGATTTGGAAACAGAAAGAGGACAACAAAGTTGCCACGGCCTTACTTCAAAATACATTATCTCCTAGCTCAGTAACACCACCACAAAACCAATTACTACAGTAAGCAGCAGTACTACTGGGTACTTTGTCCAGGGTAACTTTGGCTTCTACTGCTTCTCCTAGGAAATGCTTTCACTGTTTATTAACACTTAATTGCTATACAAATTACAGCTAAGAGAAAGGGCAAGTAGTATTCAGGACTTTAAACTCTAGCTGCGCAGTGATCCAAGTGGATGGATCTTTCTACTTTTCCATAACAGTAAATAACTGCTATTTCTATTTCCTTTCATTAACTGCATTCTGAGTCAGATCTTTCCACTGAAAGAATTTACTGTACCTCCAGTAAGATTCATTTATCAATATTCTTGAGCAGTCCTGGGGAAAAGCAAACCAAAACAAAACTGGGAAGACACTAGTACCAATTAAGACATACCTAAGGAGTGTAGAGTAACTTAATAAAACTTGCTTACCGGACCAATTCTTCTAGTTGTGTAGTTAATGGGCAATCCTCCAACATACAGCATTCCTACAACATCCAATATATCAGCTTTCTTGGGGCTAACAGTCCTGTTTGAAGCATCATCTACTATAAGGCTTCCCTCTTGCTTGGTTCGAATGACTTTAATCTAAAAAGACACACAAACACAACCCAAATTACAGATAGTTTTCTCACAACAAAGCATTTCCAGACTTTAACTAGCCTTACAGTCCAAAATACACAACAACATGGGAGAAAGTAGTAGGAGTGGTTAACAGAAGTATCCTGGCAGCAACTGTGAATGATGTTCATGGGACAGAGCTCCCGTGCAAGGTTTCGTGTAAACATATGACTGCCTTTTAATTATATGGGGGTCAGAAGGCATCAAGACTATTATTTATCAGAATTACTGAAAGGACTTGGGGTTTCTTTAAAAAGTTTAATTGTTACAATCATAAGCATACCACAATATTGTTTTTCCTGGAATCAGATAGCAATTTGAAGTACTGGGAATAGTGAAAGCTGAATGTTAATAGCATCGGTTGCAAATCTTTATTGCAGCATATGTCTGCAGACAATATTGAGTTTATAATTTCTCTTGTTTGGATGTGTCTCAGATCATAGTTCAAGCTAGAGTAAATATAATAGCAACTATGTTCTGTTGGTATTACGGCTTCTGTTCAGACAAATGGGCTGTGAATCGCATGGAGGAAGTGCAATTGCTGAAGAGTTGAGGAAATTCTACCCCACCAACTGTAGGCCAATTTCTTTCCAAAGGTTTATACTGAAATCTATATATATGAGTATAGTACTAGTTCTGTACAAAAAAAAGGGATAAATGTAAATGCAACATTCATATTCAGATTTCTGAACAGCACAGTAGTTAGCTCACCAGAGCAGCAACGAGAAAGAAATAGCATTTTTCGTTGGCTTTTCTTTAATATGGCTACTCCTGCTTCAGTGTGACAGCACATGTGTCATGCAGTGGGAATGACTGAACACTGACAAGTGGTGGCCTGAAGGCAAGGGACTCAACTTGGTGTTTTAAGACAACTGTAAATTTGAGATGGACAGTTACACTCTGGGCAGAAGGACGATTTGGTGAGTGAGACAGGAACTAGGAGCAGACTCTCTTACAGAGGACCTAAAGAGATGGCAGCAGCATAATGTGGGTTCTGTAGGCCTGATGGACACTTTTCAACCTAAACCATTTCAGAGGTTCACACTAAAAAAATGCTTTTAAGGAGAAGCCTCTGCTTTCTTAAAAACAAAGACTGTGGGCTTTTATTAAAGAGGATGCCCTTTTCCCCTCCCAGAATGTACTTTCCTGTGCTTTTTGGACACTAAGACTTTGGATTTTGTCTACGTTCTCCCCTACAAAAATGGGATCTACAACAAGGGGCTCTCTTGCAGGAGTGCCAAGCTGCATGCCCGAAGACCACAGTCTTGCATTAAGAATATGTGCTTCAGTTAGCTCTCTTAGAATATGGAGAAAATGGCTAAAAGAGCAAAAAAAATATCTTAAGTTCTGTATCTACATAGAGTAAAACAGAAAGGGGCCCTGGACCGCTGCCCGCGCTCCTAGGCATTACGTAGCATAGATAAATATGACTACAGCTTTATTATTTTCCCTCATGAAATACCTTGGTTTAGAGCATTTGCTATCATGAAGAAGTCCATGAATAAACATCCAGTAAAAATAAAATTCCTGTGAAACAGTGTGGGAATGAAGCAGAGAGGGACTAAGATGACTGCAAAGTGGGTGCGGTAAGACCAATTCAAGCATAACAGAAAATACAATTAAATTTTCCTCATTTGGTGATAGAGATGTGGATGGTGACTTTCCAAATATCTGTCCAAAATGTAATGTCTCTTATGGAATATATCTTGAATGCATGGGTACGTGTATTATTCTCTCCTGTGTCTTTATTCAAGCATGTTACCTAACGATTATACAATGTATCTGTTGTCCTTGGCCCAGTAAATACTTAGCTTCATGAGTGTCATATTATTCCTTCCCTTACCATACAATGCCACAGGCATTGTATATGAATGCTTCCTCTCATAAAGTTACAGAATGAGCTGACACATACATCCATGAATATCATATTTATTCCATAATTAATTGAATTAATAATGCAGGGAAGATTACTTAAATGTTACTTTTTTCTTTGTTCTTAGCATTAGGGCTGAACAATGACATTATTAACATAGAAACAACTGGCTTTAATGATGTATTCCATCATCTTGATACTCACCTGAGCCCTATTAGGCAGGAAGGAACATTTTCTGCAGTTCTTGCTATACATGGGACATATTCTAAATATGTCCAGAAATATGTGCTTCCTGCAGGATAAACTTCAAAGAGCAGCACTAACTTTTTTGTTCGTGGAATATCTACTGTGTACTTAACAGTCAATCTGAAAGCACAAATTTTGCAGACTACATAAAAACCTAGTTGTAAAGTTTAGCTTGTGTAGACTACATTTTGCAAATATCATAAGGCAAAAAAAAGCTCACTCTTAGCATTACAAAGAAAAATTTAGCATTAGAGACTCCCATACCTTGTGCCACTGGCCATCATTTATTTTGTTGGAAATCACTGTGCTGGTGTTTCCACTCCCCAGATCGTAGCTGAAGTAAGGCAGGCCATTCTTTATCTGAACTGCAGCAAAATCAGCATGGTTGATTCGGGCCATATAAAACAGCAAGCCAGAATCAGCTGTTGTTCGGACTTCAAATTCAATTGTAAGTCTGGAAATCAAACAAACAGGAAAACAGCAACAAAGAAAAAGATATTTAGAGTAGAAAAATTTATCTGCTTTGCCTTTTTCTGTTCTTCCAAAAAAGCTTTAGTTAGTGGCCCATTTTACCTGGCCATCAGGGTTTAAGAAAAATAGCGTGCGTATACGTGAATTACATTTCACACATATCTGATCCCTGACACATGAGTGTTCATTAGTCCCTTTGCTGTGAAAATACAAAAGTGTAGCCTTGGCACAGAATTTCAAGATTCAATTCTCAGCTGCAGCTGTAGTTGCTAGAAAATCCCAGCGCTTGTAAAATTCCACCGGCGTTATCTGTCATCCACAGACATAATGTTCACAGAGAGGAGCGAGCTGTAGTGACAGCTGGCAAATGTTGAGTTTCTAATGAGTTGTATTGCCTGAAGACAGGTTGCAAAAGTTTTAAAGATACAGAGAGAAGAGTTTACAATCAGGATATAATGCAGTTTTTGTGTTTTCTCCCAACTGAGAATGGGGGTTTGTCTGACGAGGTCTCCTGACCCCTTGGACAGAATGGTAATGCCAAAAACCTCCACTACAGCAAAGAACCTGGGAAGAAATAATTTAGATTATCTAGATGCTAATGCTGCACTGGCAGCACGTCACTAGCCCAGCCCAAGTTGAGCTGCAAAGTCAGTACCTGAAAGTAGTTGATGATATAAACGAGAAAAATCATTGCATGAATATGATCAGGCCCAGATTCTTATTTGAAAAGAAGACGGGTAAGGAACATAGGATTACATATTTCTTTTCATTATTTTCCTAGTTTTCTGAAATTAGCATACCTGAAAATATTCAGCACAGCATCTTTATAGGTAAAAATAAGCATGAGGCTCATGGATTTGTAAACTACAAGGCAAGAAAAAGCCTTCTCAGTGCTGTGCCATAGCACAGTTGTTAGTGATCCTGAGCCCTCAGAGCAAAAATGAACAATTAACAAGTTATAGCCTCACAAATCCATTGAAACAGCTGTATTTTTATAAGTAGCTCTTGGAATTCCTATGCATATTAACATGTATATGTATATATTATTATACTTTGGAAGGGCAATATCATTTTGCCTGTTCACTGTGCAAGCTTGATCTTAACTCTGAGAGGAAAGGGGAAAAGCCTTTTGCTTATGACAAGAAATTATTAAGTTACTGAACCAAGAAATTTTCTTCTGAAAAAGCAACCTATCAGCTCAGTTGCATGACCCTGTTCCATTCTTCTGTTTGGTGTTTTTTTGGTTTTTGGTGTTGGGTTTTTTTGGGTTGTTGTTGTTGTTTTTTCTGTAAATCAGTCTGGGATCTGTGTGTGCCCAAACCTTTACAAAGAAAGAGGTAAACTGTTTTTGTGAGAGCTACTTAGGTGGGCACCTCATTGCCTAGATATCATGCCTTAATGCTTTTTATGTTTGCTTAATGAAATGAGTTAGCTATAGGACATAATCTTTTTCAGATTATGCCCATAATTTTAGGAGATGCTTTTGAGCATGTTAGGAGTGGCTTCTTATTTTGACATTACTCTATCAAAACTAATTGCTGAAATAAAAAATATACCTGTTTTTCACTTTGGTGTCATCAAATGCAACTGCAGTGTGGCTGTTCCTTGAAAGACCAAATTGCTTGCCACCTTCCAAAACAGCTGGTTCTGTGTCAGCAGCACAGGAATCCTGCAAAATATACAGTGATCATACAAACTTATTTGTATTTTGTATCCCTCTTTACTGTGAACATTCTGGAAGTCCTCCAGCTGCCCAGGAGTTAGAATATTCCACCTAATCTAGATGCTGGCCCTGCAATTTTCCAGCGTGTTGATATCTCATCGCACCAGCTAAAGTTATAAACCAGTATGACAAGAACTCGGTGTAAAAGCAGAGCTCATTAAGCTGGCTGTAAAAGCAAATAAAAGTAATATACGAACATTGCTGCTTTCATGCCACCACTGGACATTTACAAGAGCCTTAAGTGATTTCCAGGCAGCCCAGTGTACTCTTAGCTCACATAACTGAGTTTGACACAGTAGGATGGCCTCTTACAGAAATGAAGCCAAACTTAAGTTTTAAAGAGATGCTTTGCTGTCGGCCTGAAATCTGGTGACCTCAAAAATAATGACTTAAAAGTAGTTTCAGATCCTGCACCTGTCAATGATTCCCCCATTTTACTTCTTTATGTTGTTTTACAATTGTGTTCTTTAATGTGCTGTTGTTTCCCCTGGTGCTGTTGAATGTCCCCCCTCCTTCCGCAGGAAAGGAAGCCGAAAAACTGATGAGTAGAAGTAACAACTGCTGACCCCCCTGATGTGTCTAAGGCAGACACATTACTCGGGGGGTAAAGAAAGAAACCCCTCCCTGTCTGTTCCACTTCTATTAATCTTAAAGTGCAACAATGGAAGGTAAAATATCTTCTACCCAGTATAATTTTCTCTTTCTAATTTCACCAGGTCTTTTAATCTCTGGCCCTAAAGCTCTTGTATAGGGGTGCCTGGGGCAATGCGAGACCGTGGTAATTACCAGCCCCTACTTCTGTTTAACTTTTGCCTCCTCACTGAGAGTATTGTGCAGAAACTACTCAAAGGATCTAACACAACACAATATCAGGACAACACCGCTGGGAAAAAACAAACTTTGATAGCTGTGAGCTCTGTTTTTAAGCACTGTGGCTGATACCAATTTGGATTGGCGACAGTCTCTCTTATTTGAGCTCTGACTCAGCAGGGACCTGCAAAACACAAGGTGTGGTGCTTTGCTGACAAAGAGCCCTTTCTGTACAACATTTTGAAAATGCCATGAGTGACTCATCAGGCACTGAGATTTCAGCTGCAAAGGGGAAATTTCTCTCCTCCTCGCAGTCTGTTTTTCAGTAGTGTTATATTTTTTGCTTTCACACATCACAAAAATCTCCACAACAGAATAAAGCACTTCTAAAAATTAGTTTTTCCACAATGAATGCTCTGGTTTGAATATGACAGTTCAGAGCACCATGCATTATGACAAGTACACATCAATGTGCAATAAAGGGAAAAAAACAGGGAAAATTTAGCAGGACCAAAGTTATGAATGTATGATAGCAGTCCTCCAGTGATCATTAACTAGAAAAAAAAATCGTATTCTCATAATGCTGGGTAAAATTTCTAATTATTTTAAGTCTTACAGGTTTATCTGGAAGTTTAACAACTATCTTAACAATAATACTTTCAATAGCATTTGGGCTTGTTTAAAATTTGAAGATAGGGACTAACTACTGGAACTGGAACAACAGAAAAGAATTGGAAAATACACTAACATACACTTTTCTGTGGCACACTTTTACATACTATATGGTAAAAGGACATACTCTGACGGTAAATAAATCCTAGGCTGGTATATGTTAGTAAAGAGTCTGGCCCTGACACTATCTGCTCCTCAGCATCAGCAAACACTGCAGCTTTAATCCATCCAGCAGGACTGTGCAGAAGGGCAAGGAGTTGGGGAGACTGCCAAGCACACTGTGATCGTTAGAATCATAGCAAGCATACAGTGATTATTCACTGATAAATACTGATCAATAATAGTGAACATTCATTAGGTTGATGTAGAAATGTCAGTAAAAGAAAAAAAAAATCAGTAGGGCATGCTTAAAAAACTTCCAGGTTTCATTCACAAGCCTGTGCCTGCTTTCACTTTATCTAAGGACAGCCAGCTTTCCAGCCTTCACAAGCATGGAACTAAGCATGGATCATCAGCCTATATTAAAATAACCCAGCTTTGTTTCTTCAATAATGCCCTTAAGGTGTCCTGGGTTTAAACCTGGCTGCTTAATAATCTCCTATATTATCCAAGAGCCTCAAGAAAGACTGAACTCTTCTGCTGCACTTTACTTCAGTCTTGCCAGATGTTGGGGACTTGACTGGTAAGTCAAGAAGCAAGGTGTGTGTCACAGTGGGAATGAAGAACAGAAAAGCTCACTGGTGGGCTGTCACACATTCTCTACAAGCAATGCTGTATTAGCAATTACAGAGGAGGTAATTAGGAGAAAAAGGGAGCACCACTGAAGCAGTCCTCACAGTTCATTGAACAGTGTTAATAAAACAATGAAGTAATGCACGGAGATACAGTGGAAGATACCGTCATGGAGTCAAATGCAGAAGTAATGCTGGCGCTCTTCATTTCAGTGGCAAGCGAACCCTGAGAAGCAGTGAATAATGTGAGGCAGAAGCAGCAGTTACTCAATGTTGAGAAACATTTTAGCATCCGTAGGAAGCAGCAGCAGCAGACTGGTGATCAGTGTATATCCCTAATTCTAGATCTTATCTTGCCTTTAGTAGAGGGTAGTTACTTTTCATTTCGGATAAAACTCTCCTCCCTTTTTACATGCAGATGGATAATAGAGACAAAAAAGCTCCTGAAAGGACCTAAGTAGAACAGATACCTTATTTAAACCTACTATATGGGAATATTTTTTTTTCTGTATACAGTCCTTCTACACTGAGCTTCTGTATAATTAATTGTCATATGAGTGCTGCCTCACTTATTTTCTTGCAAATTTCCCCTGAAAAATACTTTAGAGAACTTACTTAGATGAATGCAAAAACCATCCAAAAGCTTGCCTTATTTGAAATACTTCAAAGTCCTCAGAATACTAAAAAAGTTACTTTTTTTTTTTTTTCCCCCAAGAAAGAAAATGGATTAATGGTGTTTTATTTCAATTTTTATTCTGAACTCCTGTTTCAGCTTATCATAGCTCTAGGTATGTGATATACAAAACTTACCTAGTTACAATGGGACTAGTTTCTAGTAGTAATGTGTAGATCTATTGCTCTCAATTTTGCTATTTCAAAGTTAGTGTTTAGAGTCAGGAAAGTATGCGCTTGCTCTCTCATGCACTTCTGTGGGTTTTTTAAATTTTGTTTATCGTGTTTGATCAAGGGGTATTAAGACTGCATTCTTTCACAACAGCGAGCATTTCATTGGATAACTCTTCTCCTTTGATGTTCCCTGGTTCCTTATCTTTCTATGTTAGTCTTACAACATTGCAAATTTGCTTGCTTACTTTCAGCTCCAAACAGAAAGATGCATTGGAACCCTCATGTTACAACTACTCCATCTTGTGGGAATGAATTAAAAATGCTGCCCCAGAGTATTAAAAGGTCGATACATATAACACTGGGACTCGGGGCAGGGTAATAACTAAGATGCAGCTTGCCTGTCTTCAACCTCAGGCTCCCATTTCCAGCCACACATATTGCTGTGTGTGCTGTGGAGACTTCAGTAGTGCCTTACAAGTCCTTTTAGATAAAGTTGTGCCATATGTACCTGGCCAATGAAGGTGGCCATGAATCTCAAATATAAATATAATGAATTAGGGGTCTTGGTCTCCTTTCTGTACTCTTTTTTTTTTTTTAGACCTATATCCAAAGAAAACCAGATATGAATTCTGAAAATGAGTCAAGCAACAGGGAGTTACTGCAGCAATTAACCCAGTTTCTTTGTCTCTGACAGACTTAGAGCCAACTGACTCACTGAAAATCACAACTTTTTTTTTTTTTGTGGTCTTCATGCAATTAATTGATAATCTTTATCTCTGGATCACACAGAAAAATCTAATACAAACTCAGTGGTCTGTAATGTTGTGTCAGTGAGGAGCTGTGAAATGGGAATGAAGATTAAACCTGATTCAGTATGGGAGTGCCTCCCAAAATGGTTAAAAGATCTTATGAAGCTGATCTGGGAGAAACTGTCAAAATTACCGACTCATTTGTATTTGATAAATACAAAAAGAGACATTAAATATTCCGGTTTTTAACTTCTCAAAACTGCATTATTATGGTAGTATAAATTATGGTATTGTAAATATGCTCTTAACTGGGAAACACTGTTTGGAAACCTCACCCATACTGAACAATGTCCTGCATAAACATGTGGGTTTCCTCCCCCTCCTTTCCCCTCCAAAGAATATCTTCCAGCTGATATACTATTCAGTTTAATCTTCAGATACCTAAACATATATTTTCTGGACAGTAAAATCTTTCATAAATTTGTAAAACTGCTACACTAGTGACAGAATTTTCTTCTTAAATTTCATTGTATAAGAATGCTTGCCACTATCTAGCTATTTAAGATTTCTGGCAACAACAGTTATGCTCAATTTAGCAGTGACTGGGGTTTTAGTTTTTAAGTTTCTATATCTCCTGACTAAAGTTACAAAATAGCAGTGGAGGAATTGCCGTATCAAACAGACGTCTCTGGTTTATCTCTTTCTTCATCTTGTCACTGACATGGCTGTTATCATGTGCTTTAGAGAACAGCACAAGAAAAATCATAATGCCATGGATTTCCCATAGGAAAATTTCCCTTCCAACATGGATCAGATATTGCTTGCCTTACATCCTGAAGTGCAAGGTTTAAGGCTAAGCGTGCAAGCCAAAAGGAATTCTACTGCTATATTGTTCTTTAAATTACTGTTGTGATAATCCAAGCAAATGACATAAACCAGTTTTCCATTATCCACAGGTTTTACTGATCTGCCACAAGGTATTCCCTTCACAATGTCATGCTGAATTGGTACTACTTTTGTGGCAAGTTACTTCATTATTCTTGATGGCTAGTTTTTTTTCAATTTGCCTGGAAAAATAGACTTCTCAAACTTTACCTGAGTGAAGTAATCTACACTTACAAGTGCTGATGATAGAGATGGTGTTGGAGGAGGAGGGGAAGCAGGAGGAGTCCTTGGTCTTTCCTTCCCCCCATTAGTGTCTGGTTCAGGTTGGATCAGGACTGTTGTGTAGATTGGTTTATCTTCATCCTCAGGTGGCCTAACCTCTGGTTCTAGAGAGGGACATTGGCCAATATCTGCATTTTCAAAGGATACGGGTTGAGCAAAGTCCATGGGGCTGAGAATACACAAAGAAATTGGTCTCTGTTATTAGTTCTTCTGCCTTATCACCACCAATTTACAAATAATAGCTATATGCCTTAGTGTAATTTCACTTCACAGCACACAAGTGGCAGGATTCATGTCGTCTGTTTTAGGAACAGAAGTGGGACACTTAAATCAGAGGCAATAGTCACTGTTGGCTTTCCTTCCTACAGTCAGTGCAGATAGACAGGCAAACTCTTTGGCAAGCTTTATCAGCCTAGGCAGATCAAATCACATTGCAGAGAAGTCCTTCTCTCTGATGTACATTGATGGAGTGTGGGCTGATGAGATCCTAATTTAGGTACTTCAGTTACGTGAAAGAAAGATTTAGATGGGACCTTTCTATAGAGGTTTTACTTTAGTCACTGTTCACTTTCTTTTTACTTGTTCCAGATTACTACAGCATGTAGTTTCCACAAAGCAAATTAATTCTCATGGTATTTCTCAGAAGTTTTATACTCCTGGAGCTCAACCTTATCCAAAATAAAATGTTACAGTACACCATAAATACCTATCACTCAGGCAAGTCTTACTGCAGTGCTACTGTTGAATTTCTCTGACTTTATGGATAAATAGACAGGAGTTGGCTTGTCCGTAAAACACTTCATTAATTGTATAGCCTATGGAGTATATACTGTAGACAAAAAAAGGAAGGGCATATTAAGAAAACAGATCTTATTCTAGGATTTTCTGTTAGTATGATTCCTTGCAATGATGAAGTTTCTTTTGGTCACCAAGACGGTTAACCAGACATTAACTGGACATTGGTTGGCATCAGTGAGACTTACGTGGCATTAATGACAAGATTCCATATACAGCCCTCAAATGGTGGTATGTTTCTGAGAGGAGTTGTCTGAAACTGAGAAGAAGCACCCCCCAAAAAGAGTTTCTTAACAGAGATGGGCTGGTCTGTCAGCAATCTCTGAGTCTGGACTTTGTCTTCATCTACTTGAACAGTGAACGACCTGTGAAAAAGATTTGAAAGCAAAAAATATATATTTTACTCGGATTATTGCTTGTATTGAAATCACTGCTTTGCAAGACTCATTTACTCCTACACAAGCTAGAACACTGAACAATCCAAATTATGTAATTAGCAGCTCAAATTAAATGCATATTAACCACTAGACAGTTTTCAGCTACTGCTGCACTTCCTTGGTACCTCTCTGACAGAGCCTGGCAAAGCTGTGCTGTGGAGAGGCGATAGTATCAGTCACTGGTCAAACAGGAAGAAGTGGTTTGAGACAATTTACCATTGATAAAACATAGAAAATATCCAACTTCTGAACAAATCCAGCTCAAGGTGAGCTGGATTATCCATCTACCACACAAAGGATGGATAACAACAACAACATGTTTAAAGATGAGTATAGAATACTAGTTGGCATAATTTCTTTATGTTGTTAAACTATATTTAATAGAATTTAGCCAGGACAACAAAAAAAACCTATATGTGTATCTGGTAAATTTTGATATGATTTATTAAGTGTAGTTTTTATTTCAAGTATGTTACAGTCACGCTAAACATCAAGACCTAACTATTCAAGTATCTTTGACTACAATTAATTATCTAAACCCAAATCTGTAAGTAGCTTGATTTTTCAGAGTTACAAGCATCCTTATGACATATCAGAAATAATCAGTTTCTGGCAAATAATTTTTTCAGTAGCAAAATTATATTGAACTGCAATATTCTTCCATAACAATAATTACCAATGTTAGCAACTGAATATTGAAAATGTTTGTTGAAAATAGGCTGGTTTTCATATGTAAAATGCTTGGCTTTGTTATTTATACAAGCCTAGACAGAACTGCACGGCTACTTAAGCACCTGAATTAGATAACTGTCGTACTACATGCTAATTGCCCAATTTCCTCATAGTTTTGGATGGATTTATTTGGTCTAGAAATCTGTAGAGTAAAGTGAAAGTGATTCATTTTTCAAAGGGTTGGAAGAAGCAGATATTAAAAGACACATATTTCAGGACAATATCTAGGATTTACCTCAGACTCTTCAGTGGTAGAAACAGAAGGAGAGGGATTTCTCTGGGGACAGCTCAGAGCAACAGACTAATTTAGGTTCTGTGAAGTGTCCCAGAGAGGAGACTTCTCTCCACTGCCTTCAGAGGAAGTGCAGGGAAATCAGACTGTCAAGACTCGAGTTACCCTTTGTGCTGCTGCATGTTAGCTATGGCTACTGATTGTCAACATTTTCATCAGCTTGCAATATTTCATCTCATCTTTAGCCATTACCACGGTAAACATTTTTCAGCAGAACCATACAATGATATGCATTACTGTTCAACAGAATCCTGTAATTACCTTGGAAGAGAAAGTAAACACTTCATAATTATATGAACAATTATCTCTCTGAAGAGTTTTCAAAGGCTTTTCCTCATATGTAATCAAATAAAGCTTGAGTTTGTGATAAGCAGAGGAAGGGTTATTCTTAATTTATATCTTTTCACATCCATTTCTGATTACAGAAACTGCAGAGTTCAGACAATTTGTTTTGTAACAGAGCTACTGTGAAAACACAGAGGTTTCATCTGAACAAGCACCATCACTGGATGGATGGCATTTTACAGCAATGGTGTCTTGATGTACTCTCACAGGTCAAGCTACTGTATTTGCTATAGCACTGCATAAAAGAACTTACTTTGTTATTTAGAGCTTCTTATTATCATCTGCATATTTGTGTTCTCTCACAGTGACACTACATGTTTCACAAAATGTAGTCATTCATTTGCAAAATAACTTTTCCTCCTAAAGAATTTAGAGTTTTACCTCGAACTACTCACTGAAGTTAGGCAGAAATATTGTCTGAAGGCACTACTTACAAGATATTTTTTTAATGATACAATAGACATTGACTCAGAAAATTATACTGACAAAGGACAAAGCAAAGCAAAGCAAGTTACAGAGAGGACAGAATGGCACCTTGGGACCGGACAGACAGGAATTGTTGCTCAAGAAGGCTACAGTGTTGTGCTGTGTCACAGCAGTATTTCTCATCCACAGGTCCAATTAATAAAATATATTTGCCAAGAACCAGAAGGTTAAAAATGCCAGTTTAGACAAATGTAGGTCTCTGGAGAAACAGGCTGATAGCCTAGGAAAGCATGCAAACCCTAGGAAAGCATGCAAACCCAGCTCTGCAGAACAATAAGCACTGTCAGAAACTGACTTCTAAAAATTTTTGGAGAAGGATGGACTTATACTAAATTCTTTTCCTCAGCAGAAGCAATTACGTGGATTGCAAAAGACACTGGCACATTTGCTTTGTTGAATTAGCTGTGCTGTGTGCTCTGTAGCACTCATAGGTATTTGTTACCCTCTAGCTCGTTCAATCCGGATGGAGTGTGCTCGGCCGTCGTGAAACTTGCCAGCTTCTGGTCTGATGGTGATTCTGTGGGGATCCCGTAACCCAGTGGACATATGTACTTCTAGTCGACCCCTGTTCAGGAACACTGCATAGTAGGCCTGCAATGTGTATGTTGGTATGAGAAGGTAAGTTACATTTGGGAAGAAATAATTTCACTTAGCTTTACATTAGTGTGTATGTTTTATTTTCTTACACTGGTTTCTAGTTTGCTCATCACAGACAAGATACTGTAGTTTCAGTTCTGCTGCTGCTGCTACATTCAGACTCTTGTATTTTTGTAATGAGGAATGGGTAAAATGCAGTCATGCTGGAAAGGCTCATCAAAAGATTTAACTCTGCATACCTATTTGTAGGGAAGGCTGGAGACTTCTAGCTTACAATTTTTCTGATTTTTGCTGTTAAAAGGCTTGATCTTAAACCCATCAAGCCTTGAATAACATTGATCTCAGTGCAAATTCTGCGTTTGAAGGGCTGGCAAATCATGCTAGTAGTTACTGTAGCAACCAATATCATGTCGTAGTGGATTTCAGGATCTAACCTCCAGTTACTATAGCAATGAGTGTCATGCTCACTTCTGTGACCTGACGAGCTGGGCAATGATAAAGGAGCCCCTACCCTGAAGTTAATGCCATGAGGGTGAGCCATCATAATGTGCTGTCCCTATAGCGTGTTCCACCAGGTCACTGAGAGCTCTCTTCCAAAACAGACAAGGAGAACAATAACAAAATATCATTTCCCAGAAAGCAACAAAACATTCTGTTTATCTCTGTTGCAGTATGTCTGTGAGGTTTTTAATTAATCAAGATTTGAATAATTTCTAACAGCATCACACTTTCACCAGTTAGTCATTTGGATTCTGTAGGTACTTCCTCAGAACAGACTGACTCCATCCTCTTCTTCAGAAAGGATTTATACCGCATTGCATATTACGGTAGACAAGGAAACGTTTGTTGGAGGAATCTTAAGTTTTATATGACACAGCAGTGATCCCAACCAAGTGGCTTATCTTGCACTGCTTTTAGCAGCCCTTTTTAAATTTCTTTTGATCTCAGGGGAAACAGAATGATCCTCATTTATGTCTATATGAACAGGAATGAGAGATGTTTCCAAGCAGTAATAGTGCATAAGTAGTCCTCAGAATGAGTGAAGAACAGTATTCTCTAATATTTAGGTTTGATTTAAAAAAAAAACCATGGAAGCATCTATGTGACAGAAAAACAAATCTGTTGTTCAGCAACAAGGAAGGGATACCTTAATGTAAATCTTTAAGAGAAAGAGTTACTCCAACACAAAAAAAACAATTCTGAGCCTCTATCAGATTCTTCATCAGATAAAGGATAACATAAGAAATAATCTACTCCCTAGCACTGTAAGTATAAACACCTGACAGTGTATGGAAACAATCCAAGTGGAAGTAGTACAGTAAAGTTGTGGCTTTTCTTTATCTTTGGTTTCTCGTACCTGTCCTGTCTGTCTGCGCTTTCTCTTCAGAGGGGCAGCTTTCCTCCCAGTGTACCTGCGCTTTCTCCTGGTGGGAACAACTGTGCCACTTGTGCCAAACAAGATGATCCCAGACTCATTCTTGGTGCTGAAGGAGAGGTTGATTTCTGTGCCCAGGTCAAAGGAGACAGGCTGCAGTTCCAGAAAACCTGCCTTAGAGAAGCTAACTGTATAAATGTTCTGTAGGAAGAAGACAGGAAAGTGCATTAATTGGATTAAAAGCAAGAGTATGAACGTGCAGAAAGATTTCTTAACTAAAATAATAAACTATGTAAATATTACTAGTGTGAAGAGATGGAAAGTAATAATAAACACTAAGCAATTTACTTCTCAAAGTGTTGTGCAAACACTAATTTACCCGTTTACATCTGGCATCATTAGAGTATTTCTGGAATCCTGTCTTACAGGAAGGCAAAGTTCCAGTTTTATTTCTGTATATCCTCTTCGATTAAAAATAACTGCTCACAGGTGGGTTTTTTTAATTTGAATGTTCTCCATCAAGTTAATACAGTGAGATTTTACTTTTAAATCAATACAATAGATAACAACAGCCAATATGAACATAAACTAGATTCTATTATTTGTCGAATGTGGCCAAAAAATACTTTCCATTAAGCAGCCATTACTTCATCATGGCTTCACTAAGCACCACTGCTTCTTGATGACTCAGGCTCATAAATGAAACACTGGTTGTGCATGGCCCACTTCTCTGGATACTGGTAGCCATTAGCACAATTTAAAGAGGAGAATATGTCATCAAATAATGCATCAGTGCATAATCCTGAAGATTTCCTGTAACCACTGCCAAATCTTGTACTCTTCCAGACAGGGAAGACCAGTCTATGGAAACAGTGACTTATTCTAAAATAACTCACTATTTTTTCAATACAGTAGAACTGTTTTCAGGTAGAGAGATAATAAATTATGCTAGATTGAATAATAACTGATGATGTTGACCTTTCTCTGAAATACGAGGGCATTTAAATAATTGAGCGTATATCCATGCTTTATCTTTTGCGTTTACTTCACTTCTTTTTAATTATCCTGCACATCCTGTTTTGTACAATTAGGATATTTTATTTAATTCCCTAGCAAAATGGTTAATCCAATTAGATTTCAAATTCTGAAACCTCAAGAGTTAAAAAATAATGTGAAAAATTTCTTTCTAAGATTCATAGCAACAGAAGAAAATCAACACAACAATCCTTGTTTCCTATGCAGGATGGAATCTACAATAAACGCAAACAAATACAAACTTCTGTAGAAAAATTTTGCCAACCCCAAATTTGTAAGATATAAAAGCATTTGAGCAATCTGGTTGTTTACAATTTAGCTTTATCACAACCTTGAAAACTTAAAAATGGCCACATTCTGACAGATCTATCTAGTCTAATATCCTGTCTGAGAGTCCTACTGTTGAGTGCTTTTTTGCTCTGATGAAGGCCAGAGATAGAAGTGATAAACAGCGCTAAAGAGGATACTCATCTTTATTTTGGACTGGCCAGGCTCTAGTCACTGTTCAAAGGAAATTTTCAACGTTTTGGAGAAAAATGTTCAGAGAGCATCTCTTTAATAACAACTCATTTGGATTTGCTGTAGTGGTATCTGGTATTCTATAGTGAATGATTTTAAAATAACATTAAAAAATGAAATCCTTGAATTTTAAGGTTTTTGTAATATTGTCAGTGCCTAATTCTATCCTCATTAATGCCAATAATTCCCACTTCAGTCAGCTGAAACAGAGCAAGACCACCACTAAGGATTTCAGAAAATCCTACCCTTTAGGGATAGTGATATCACAAGTGTCCAGGGATACTGTCCAAGAAGTCGGGATCTGGAAAACTGTTCTACTTGCTGTTCAGACTAATTAACCTTTCTTCCTTCTAAATATAACTGTTCTGATTTTCAGGTTAGATCCCTATGTGTGTGTGAATATGTCATATACAATTAATATGCTATGCCATAAAATCAGAAACCAGAAAACATTTATATCAATTAAGATCAAAGTATATGGAAGTCCAACTAACCTCTAGTGTGCATCCTTTGGTTAGACCAACAAAATCAGGACTACTCAATATATTATATGGTGTCCTTGAAATTTCAATCTCTTTGAGGCAACCTGTATATTTCTTTAAGTTCACTTCAGGCCTAAAAAAAAATTAGAAGTATTTTCAAAAATAGAGTTTAGGGAGAACACAGTCAGCCAGACACACACACATGCATTTCCAGATGCACAGATGCTTGATTTTTTAATTTTTTTTTAGAATAAACACATACACTCAAATGAATACATTTTGCCTTCTACCACCTATCAGCATATATTGCAGTCTGCCTTCCACCACTCAGAGGTATAACATGAGATTAATCTCATCTCCAGTTGACAACAGCACCCTTTTCAATTTTTTTCTTTCTCTTTTTTTAGTGGTGGCAGGTTTTGTTTTGGTCTTTTTGTTTGGGTTTTTTTGTTGTGGTTTGTTGTTTGGTTTTTTTTTTTTTGTTTAGCAAGTGCTTTAAATGCAGTCAGCTGTGAAATAGGTAAGTAGTTGTTCCTCAGGCAAAGCAGAAAGACATAAGCTAGGAATCATAACAATGAGAGACCTTAACTGGAAGACAGATGTTTCATTCATCTTTTTGTATGCTAGATCCTAATGGAAGAGGAACTTTAGCAGCATACAAACATTTTTGATAAAGTCTTTGCCGAAGGCTGAAAAAAAATTCTTTTTTTTTTTTTTAATGCTTTAAGATTTCTTAATGTTCAGGTAGACTGACATTTGTTTTCTATGTATTTTTTACTCCCAGTATCTTTCCTATGAGAACTGCTGCCTATTTTCTTGTGACACAGCAATATATTTGACTTTCTCAGGCAATGAAAGAAAAAAACCCAACACACTTGTGTTTGTTACTATCCATCCAAGACAGGAAAATTTTGTAATGGAATTGCAAAGTTGCACAGTTTGGCTTATCAACTGGTTGCCAGAAGAAATAAAAAAACCTTTAAAAGTAACACCAAAGGTAGCATACTTTAATGCAGAAGTATGATTGCCCAGGCCAGGGAACACCAGAGTGACACACTAACTGCTGGCAACGTCTGAACCAGGTTTGCAAGAAGAACCTTATATGGTCACTTCAGAAAAAAAGTTGCCATTCATGTCATGAAGAGTAAATCCAAAAAGAAAAAAGCACTAGTTAATTCACTCACAATATTATCCATGAATGTTTAGTAAAATATCTGAATAATATCAACAGCTTAAAGAAAGAAAAAATAATTTGGAAAATAAAGAAAGAGTTAAAACTGTGGGGAGAAAAAAAATCCCAAAAAACATTTCGGCTCCCTGGAAGGAAAGAAAAGATTATAAAGAATATTAATTACAAAATAAAACCATTTTGCACATACTGTTCAGCTGCATGTTTTGAAACTGAAAGCCATTCTTTGCACTATAGCCATTGTAGCAAGTGCACTGTATTCTCTGGCAAATTAGCATCCTCTACATAAAGTAAGCATCTGGTTTACTAAAATAATCCATATTCTGCTTTATTTACACTCATGTAGTTTAGGTCACCTTTAATTTTTGATTTTTTTATTTCCCAGCTCTTCTCCAGTTCTTTCATAGACTCATTTTCTCGGTGGCAGAAGAGTTTTGCCATGTCATTATCAGCAGTGCCCATGGTCTCCTGTCTTTGCCATCCATGTTACTGCTCTGTCCCATTACAGACTGCCCTTGTGCCATCCCATTACAAGCAGTTGCTGTTACATATAATTCCCAACCCATATGAACTCCACATCCTTGTAAACATTGAACACTTGCTTGATGTTTTCTTAAGACTTCCTTTTTCCCTGTTCCCTTCCAAAACATACAAAGCACGGTCCAAGTTCATTCAGATCTCGCATAAATTCTTGGCCTTTTTTTCCAGACTAGGATCAGTTTCAAAGAAGTACAAGTAAAGATTTCTGGAGCTTGGGAGGAAAAAATCTTTCTTGGGATCAAGGGGGAAGCTGCATTTTTGTAATTCATACCAGGAATTAAGCTGCAAAACAGTGGAGTTCAGTTCATGTCTGAGCACATCAAAGCAAAAGCAATGGACACAAATACCTGCAAACCGGAAACAGTCATAAATACGTGACCTCTCCTATCCCCCTGTTCTTAAACTCAGAAGTTTCACAAATTTCACAAAAATCTGCACCTGGCTTTCATACTCTCCTCAATAACTACATCACTGCCTCGGAGTGCAGCGCTCCTCACCTGACCCGGCACAACGTTGCTCTTACAGCCTGGAGGCCAGAACCAAACTGGGCAATACAACTTGCCGTAGCTTTGCCATAAACAAACAGAGCTGAAGTAGGCAGTGGTGTGAAGAAAATAAAAGTTGTTTGTGGAGGTGTGTGCACAGCGTGTAAGACGACAGTGTTAAGCACTTGGGAGCAGCTTTGCTTGTTGCAGCAGGAGCAACTCACTGAATTAACAGCCTTAGCACAACAGCTGGTGTAAATACTGCCCACACGCTACTTCTGCAGTGCCGCCTGTGCTTTCAAGCTGCACTTGACACTAGACACATGCAAGTCATGCAAATAATCTGATTATTTTTACCTTGCTTTCATACTAGAGTGAGAAAGAAAGAAAGAAGAAAAATTACATTAATTGTAGCAAATTATACTTATTAGCAAGGTTCAAAATACTTCACAATGAAGCAGATATACATAACTTGCAAACAATGCATTATGGATGGTGAGATTCTATATACGCTGTCAAGCTATAATAATTAAGTGATCTACCCTGCAAAAAGCTAACTCAAAATTTAATATATCAGAGAGCTTTTATAATTTGTTGCTATACTTGGTTGTGAGTAAAAGCAAACCATGTAAAGGAATTTTGCAGAACCAACATGACCTGAAAATTACAAAGTCACAGGTACCTCAGCATCTATTGTTTGTGGTAGATCAGCTTTGCCCTAATCCTCCTTTCACTATTTTTGATTCTAATTTACCGTAACATGCATCTTGCTCTAGTGACTGATGAATCATAGCTGTAGGCAAATTGGTTACCACAGGTCCAAGTAGCTGTGGTACACTGAGTTTCTAAGCATTCGCAAAGGATTTGCTGGAAGATAATTGCTCTAGACATTTTGTTAGGCACTAGTGTGATAGCACAATTACATAACATAGTGTTATATTTCCCGTGTAAAATAGATCTTTGATCTTTTTATTGCTGAGTGATTTGACATCAGAGGTCAGTTATTAACCTAATAAACTAACAAGTCCTTTCTGTTAGTTGCAGAACAGCCTGTGGACTCATCACAACAGTTTCTGGTGCACAAGACCATTTCAAGGCTATCTTTATGCCATGTAGTTAAAGTTGACATAGATTAATGGGCTTGTTTCTCTGTTGCTCATCTGTTCACTGTAGCACAGAATTCTCTTGTTCTTGTCATTGCAAAACTGCTGAATATTCATTTAAACCACAAGTAAGTTTTTTGTCTATTTAAAACCATGTAATACAGTCGCTAAATTCAGATATCTGTTATCCTATTTATTTGGTTTATTAAAGCTTAACTTATAGTTTATCAAGAATAACATGAGGTATTTAAAAATAAATAATGAGTATTTTATTTGAGCAAGAAATTCAGGATCAGGCTTCTCAAGGGAAAAGGTTGCCATATTTCATTCTATTTACATCAAATATCTCAGGAGTATTGTATCATATACTTTAATTCCTGACTAGAGGAGTAATTTAGTCTAACAAGTCCAGGAACTTAGAACAGGAACAGTCCAGGTGCTGTACTGCACCATTACCACAACTTCCATTGCATTTGTGTGATGTTGAGATGCATGAAATACATTGAAATACACAACATATGTAAATAAAGCAAAGATCTGCTGTGGCAGTATCAGGTACCTTGGGAACTCACCTTTCACTTACTGCAAGTGAACTTGAGAAAGAGATACAGAAAATAAGATTACACTGTATTTACATCCCTTTATCAAAGGTAAAAAAAATCGGTTTGAGCCACATTACCTTAGATTTCTCAGAGTTGGCAATCCCCCAAAATATATTTTCTCATGCCCTTTTAAGTTGAGCCCAAAGTGGCTGCCTGTTGAAGTTGTTGCTATGGTCTCTTCTTCATTGGTGTCTATGTCTACAATTGATATGTTGGCTGGAAGACATTTAAGATTAGTTTCAAAATAACAGTCATGAACTTATAAGACGTCTTAATGTAAGAAATCAACAGAGAAATAATTGGAGGGTTAGCAGGCGAGGGGAGAGGCAAGGAGGGTTGCATTTTGCTATTAAGACACTGGATTTCCAAACTGCCAATTAAGAGCAGAGGAAGAGACCTATGCTTTCCTCTGTTTCCATAACAACCTGAGAAGCTATAGCAATTCTGTATGCTTTATTTTTATACAGTTTCTAAACCGGTTTCAATTTGGTATGTTCTTTGTGTCAATGTAATTTGGAGCTAACAATTCAGGACAAATTCAAGACAGAAGAGATAATTTTACATCTAATTTATGATTTGAGTCCAAAGGTTGTCACTTGAGCAAGATTTTTCTAGTGTAAAAGTTTGTTAAGCATTGTCATTATGTGCCTTAGAGACTGGTGATCAGTCTCTCTAAACCATTTTCAAACCCAAAGCAGTCAGTTGCTGTCATGTCTAATCTCAATCTGGAGTCAGTGATGTGCTATGTGCAACCATCCCATTTGAATGCATGTTTCATGTATATTTTTAATGTATGGATTAATACAGAATATAAAGTTCAGTGAGAGAGACAAGACATCCTGAAGAAATGCTGAGCACCCCAGAAGGAAGAAGTGTATATTCTACCATAGGGATGCAAAGAAAGTGTTCTTACCTTCTCCTTTTTTTCCTTTCATTCTCCCTTTCTTTTTTTAATTCAGATAGTTAAAAGATAGTTATAATCACTCCCTTCCCCCCACCCTCATCTACATAACTAAGGAATGAAATTAACCGAACCCTTATTATAATGTAAAAAGTGACTAGCTTGATTTCTGGTTAAAGATGGAATAGAGTGAATTTGGAGGTGAAAGACCTGTCAACTTCTTAGGAGATTTCCACGGGAGGACTCACTAGAAGAGGTAATATATACTCTGTGGAGAGGAAGAAAGAATGAGAGGATGGGGGGAAGAAATAGTAAAGGCCAAAGGCGAGTCTCTTGTAACAGCAGCTGACTAAATAAGTTTCTTAAAAGAGAGAAGGAATGTGCAAAACCTGAAAACAAATTACCATTTTCAGAAGTGAAACAGAATTGAATGGGCATAGGCTTTCCTGCTGTACCTTACTGTAAATAGACTAATTTTCCTTTCATTTCTATTTCTGTATCTTCTTTATAAACACATTATATGTTTGAATAGTTTGCATTTTATCTTAATACCTCCTGAGTTAAGTATGAACTAAGATAACTGGCTTGCAACAAGGCATTCTTCCTCTAGAGGTGCAGCAAATTCGCAAGTGAGAGTTCCGAGTTATTTTGGCCAGTGTCCTGGCTCCCAAACCTACTTCAGCCAAACGACAAGAGAGTGGGTCTGTGTTGGAGGTGCAAAGGTCAGGTAGAGAGCTGGCACTGCAGGGGGCAGAGGAGGAAGAGTGTGGGCAGGGGCTCGTGGTGACCCTGACGATTCAGAATGCACTAAGATTTCAGGATAAAAAGGCACGGAGAATATCAGACGCCATCAATAAAATTAATTTGGCTCAGGTAAGATTCTACCAGTCTTATAACTACATTAAAAACAAACAAGAAAAAAGGGTTTTGCCAGAACAGTAGCCAGCATTCTTTGGTGTCTTATCAAATGCCACTACTTCACATTTTGCATCAGTAACAGGTTAAAGAATTAACAGCACTTTTGAAGATGTTCCCAGTTGTTGTTATGGTTTAAGGGTTACCAGCCTGAAAGGGAAGGACAGGTGGTGTCCGTAGGACCCTGGGGGGTCCGAGATCAGTACAGTTCCCTCCCCTTTCCAGCCACAGTCTATAAAAAACCGAGGAGGCCTGAAGTTTTCACGGGCTTTTCCTGGCTTCCTGGGCTGCTTCCTGTCGCATCTCAGGACGGCTGGGCCTAGCTCCACGTGCTCGGGCAGCATCCACCACCATCCGCTCCCAGCACCACTGCGGTCCCTGGTGACGAGTCACAGCGGTCGCAGCGGCCACGAGGCACTGCTCGGACACTTCCACTTGGGACTACTGGGATCGGGTTTTGTATACAGTTAAATATCCTTTGTCTCTTATTAATTCCCTTTTCCTTTCCCTGTTGTTTTTCATTAAACTTGTTACAGTCTTAACTTCCAACCTTGTGCGAAGCATCTTCTTTCTCTATTCCCTTTTTTTTAAATCATCCCCTGGGAGGGTAGGGGACAATAGAGAGAAAATCTTGCTCCCTGAGCCTTAAACGGAGACAGTTGTTTCTATGCAGATTCAGATCATGATACTCTGCATAGCGTTAGGGAATGTAAAATAGTTGTTCTGTTTGTCTACTGAGATACTGTACTATCAGTACTGAAGTCATTGCTTTTCTAAGTGCTTTGGGATATGTTGTGTATGAGAGGACAATACAGCATGAACGCTATTGTCTGCCTAACAAAAATCACACAGGTTTGTTTTATGATTTTGTACATCAGGGAACTGATGAAAAAACTTCTTCCCACTCAGAAGCATTTTAGAATGTAATTTATGCAACTGTAAAGCAGAATTATGCCTGAAAATTAAGCTACCTGTTCATAAGAGGCCGGTTTGACAGTGCAATCACTCACATGCAACTCAACACACCTGTAATCTAAGCAAAAGAAGTTGCTAAATCATTAGAATTTTATAATTCTAGCAGTTTTGCACAGTATCTTCCCTATGATTAGATGGTTAGCTGTACTGCACAGGTAGTTGAGAAAGTCATGGTCTTGACACCACAGGAACTCACCTTGCTTTTGAATTCTTGACAGGGTGAAAGATTTCCATTTGCCATCATTATGATTTTGGTTGCTGGTAACAGAAGCTGTACCCGATCCCAAATCATAGCTGACTTTTATATGCCCATCACTGAGTTCTACACTCATGAAATCCTTCTGTTAATGAAAAGGATTAGATACACAAATTATGATTCTTGTTAATTTTGGTAAGAGGTATGTGACATTAAATAAACACTTTCCTTTCCCGAGTGACAACAGACAACTTCTTTAAAGCTTCTTTAAAAGTTTACTTAGGCATTTACTGCTCAAGACTGTAACGTACAGAATTCTGCCGCCAACAAGTTCTTTTTTCCCCATTTCTTCTCCTATGTATGGCTAAGTTAGCTGGCATTTTGCTAACAACTTAGCTGGAGTTTTGATGGGATGTCTGTACGTTTATTTTCTTAGATTGAAGACAGAAATACACATGATAATTACCTGAAACTAATACTCAGCTTTGAGTATATGTCTGCAACACAGTGCATTTACTACATACCTCAGCTAGATTTAAACTTGCAAGCTAGAAAACAAGAATAGTAAAGATAGTAAAACAGGCTGGTTTTACCGGGGTTTCCAGAGAGTAATCTGCAATGATGGAGCAACAGAGAGCTATGAACTGTTATTCTCATCAACCACTGACACCAATATCTAAGCAGTAACTGCCGATGGCTGACTGGAGCAATGGTATACACTGCAGTATATACAGAAAAAGAGGTGGCAGGACACAAAAGCAAAACAAATAGCCAGAGAACTGGATAGCATGAAAGGCATTAAGTAATGGTGGATCTATGACCCAGGACATGAATGTACCAGAGAAATTTTAATTGTAATTTTGCACATGGCCAGTTCCATCTGTGCTCAGACCTAGGAGGGAATGAAAATACTTTACCATGTGCTGAATACTTATGCAAAACTGTGATAATGAAGTTATGTATATGAACATAAATTTATGTTAAAAAGAAAAGACTAACATTTAACAGTCTCAGTATGCTAGATGCTTATGCATGTCTATTCATGCTCCACTAGAAAAAGCATCCTCGAAGTTTTTATACAGTGGGACAGTATATTAAGAGACAGATTGTATCAGGGACCAGTTGCCTTCCAGCTCTCAGTGTTTTACAGAATTTCAAGTAAATACTTTTTTCTAGAAAACTATGTAAGTTAATAATAATGATACAAAATAATTATGCAAAATAATCTAAAATAATTACATTCATTATACTTTCAACATTCAATTATAAAAAAGAATTAGAAAAACTACATAAGTACTTCATTATCATAATAAAATATCTTTACTATAGTCAGTCAGGAGAAGCACCCACCTCCGTGATAACTCCAGCAATTCTGTTAAGTTTTCCCAAATTACAGGAATGTGAAATAAGACTAATTTACACAAACTCAGTTTTTGTAAAATAGTGCTCAGTAATCCTTCAAGATGTCAGGGAGAATTGCTGTACATAGTTTCTGGCCCTTGTGAAAGGCTAAGGAAAGTACTCTGTTCCCAGTCAGGATTGCAAATCAATCTGGATCAGAGATGCTGAAGCTGAGTTATTCCTGATTCATGTGAGAATCTGGCCAGATGTCTTTATAAATAACTTCTCCCTATTATCCACCACACATTTGATACTGTGTGTGAATAAAAACCTTGAACAACTTTACTACTAATGTTTCTGTTCTCTATTTTAGCTGTAAAAGGCACCATTTGTAGACCTTGTAAAAACATCATCACTGTTTACATCCTGTTTGCTTCGCCATTCAGTTCCCCTTTAATGCCACTCCATTAAACACAAACTTTTCCTATATACCAGTAGGACTTCTAAGACTTGTCTCTTCCCATATTCTCCCTGCCCTCACACTACGATATTTTAAACTATGAAAGTATAACCAGAACTGGCAATGTTTACACAGGCAAATATTTGGGATAAATTAAAATTAATTAATAATTTCAGAAAAGCTGAAATTCCCCTCAGTCTAACACCCAGGCACACAATAATACTCCCCAGTCAGTAAAAACCAGGCAGTCAACTTCCACACTATAACACTGTCTGCATTCACTTCGATATCAGACAGCATTGTACCAGGACAGGTACAGGACTACATTCAATTCCTATTTGTTCTCATAATGTGATGAATTCAGACACCATAAAGATGGCATGAAACCTGTCAGGAGCGTGAAGGCTAGCTGGTTGTTCTTACCAAGTCATCAGTAGCAAGATACATCAGCAGGGCATTCGATGAGAAGGTCCTGAATTTGAGCATGACTGTGGAAATGTTGGGGTTCCAGCGGATTGGGCGGCTCACCATAGCGTAGCTGTCCCCATCAAACTGGACTGTCCCTTCACTGTCTGCCACCTGTGGGCTGAAAAGGGGCAATTCCAATTGATTTCCTTTGCCGTGTGCAGTTAAAAGAAAAAGAAATGGGGGGAAAAGGGGCATGAGGGGACACCTCTTGCAAGTCGTGCTGAACTTGGTCTGATTTTAAATCAAACCGCTGCTCTGACAGGTGAAGCTGTAAGGTCAGCTCACCAGCTCATCCAACACAAAAGCACTTCTGGGAGGAAGATGACAGTGGAACCTGTTGCCTATATCTCATGTTCTGTAATGACTCATTTTGCAATCCTCAATGAAAAATAGCATTATGTACTCTTTCACCTTGCAATAAATCTTGGTTTTGTTATGTTTGTGATATTACAACTTCCAGAGAGTCCCAGCCTGAAAACCCTAATTCTCTCTGTTTACCCACAAATTACAAACACCATGAGAGCACAAGCATGAGTCCCTCCACAGTTTTTTGTATTCCGGTCATTACAAAACAGAAAATATCAGGCTTTGAGATTGTTTGATACGATTTTTATGACAGACTCTTGACCGTTTCTGTCTCACAGATCAGATAGCTGCAAGACATCAATCTTTTGGTTTAATCACAAACATAACTAAATTTGAACAAGGGACCTAAACATGAAATACTGGCTAGAATATGCTTGCCATACATGTATAAGGATCTTGAATGTAGTCTTTACACTCTCCATAGCTACATTTAACAGTTACATTTTTGCAAATAGATTTTGCAGAACAGGGCTCTTTCTGGTACTGGAACAATGAGTTAAGGTAAAAGGGAGCTTTTAATACAGTTTTCTACAAATCTCAAGTCTAGTATTCTTTTTTTAATCTCCCTTTTACTCACCTCCAGTCCAAGCAAGCAGGTCTATAGTATCACTAATGAATGAGAAAATTAAATTTAGGCAGAGATGCACATAAATGTATCACCATTTCCACTAGGACTTTTTTGGAATTGAAATGCATATATATATATCATCATGCTCCTTGAATTTCCACCTAAGTATCAAGGGCCTATATTTGTAGTCAAGCAAATCCTGTAGTACTTCGAAAATTGTTTCTGTTCACAACTGGAATTTTCATCATTTTCAAAGGGCTAAGCTTTAGCAGGTTGTCAAACTAGCAGTCTAGTTTAAAAGGTAGCCTACTCTTAACTTCCCTGCCTGGACCTGCAATAATTTTACTTAACAAAGTGTGGGCTTTAAATAACACCACCAAATTAACTAAAAAAAATGCAGAAGCATCTAAGAGGACAGTGCTGTTTCATGCAGTGGGTCACTGTGAAAATTATAAACCATAAACAAGGTTGTGAGAGACCCATCATGTCTTTACATGATAATTCCCAGAACTGTGCTGTAGTATCAGATGGTGACTCTGTATAAGGGCTCTCAGCTTTTGAAGCTGAGACATGGCACAGGAAAGTGTTTGAGATTAGTCTGGTGGGAAAGAGGAATGAAGATCGGTCACAGCTCTCTAAGGATAAGGACACACCCAGATAGGAAGAAACTTAGGTTGTTTTAAAATTCTTGAAGGGAGTTCTCAGCCTATATATGCGAATCCTGGTCCTGCCTGGATGGGCCATTTAGCCTACCTGGAACCACAGGTCACTGACAAGGACAGAACTTACCATTACACACACATGCCACAGCTTTCCAGGAGCCAGACTCAGTCCCACTGTGGATCCCATCCCCTCATGTTTTGACTAATCCTGGTTACTGGTTAGCAGGTGCATTACCATCATGGCACTGTTACACTGTCTTAATTCTGTTAAGACACTGACAACATTTATGACTCAGACTGGGTGCTTCTCCTCTTGGTTTAATTACAACCTGACTTCATATTTCCTCCAACTCTCAGCATTGTATACAGACCGCAGCTGTCTACCAGAACTCGATGGCTGCTGTGGAAATTCCTTCTGTGTACCACAGTGTCACCACGGACATGATCCCAAAGCAGCATGAGAAGCAGTCAGTGCATCACCTACCTGACGGCACACCCTTTGCAGTCTCCTTCGATATCTCTGAAATTCCACAGTCCTATGGGCTTGCTGTCTAGAAAGGTCTCACCCATGCAGCCAGTGAAGGTGGTGACTCTTACAGCATCTGACTTCTGCAACAGAAAACACAAACCTTTTTAGAATTCAATTTGAGGTGATCTACTGTGTCTGAAATCAAAACTGGTATGAAAATCACAAATACTAGAAGATGTTTCTTATTGTTTTAAATACAAATAGCAATACTTAATATGAAACGTCCTCCTATTAAAGAACTGATCATTGAAAATGTGAGCTAAGCTTTCTATCAGTCAGGGTGGAAAAATCCATTTATTTGAGACTCTAAGGAGGGCCTAGGCAGAATGATTTCTGGATAATGAGGAGCTGCCCTGGCTTCCACATCACCATCAGCTTTCTTGGTTATTCAGAGAGCTGCCTGCTCCCCCTTGTTCAAGATCTATCTGGGTTTTTGTTTAAGACTTCAGAGAATGGACTATGAGGAATCTCGCCTGCAATACAGTAAGCAAAAATTTCTACTGCACTTAATGCTCAAAAGCCTGGAAATTGAGCAGATCATCCAAGATAAAAGATCAACTGTAAACTTAACGGGTTACACCTGTAAAGTTCATGCTGAATTTTGGATGCAGAAAAAAATTCAGATGGAAAAGCAATTAAAACTCATATTCCATCAAAACTCATTAAGCTAGGGTCATGCACAGGGGGTAATGCTCATTCGATTATAACATAGTACCATGATTAAGGTAGTAATATTTGACAGTACACAGAGTAGTCAGCTTAAAATTATCCTTCTAAAAATACCTAGCTTCATTTAAATTTCACTTCATCAATATGAGCTGATTGAAAATCTATATACTTAGCTATTTGAAATAGACAAGCACCTGCTGTTTTCCATACAGCAATTATGAATATTAAGATCTTGCAAGAGAATATGGAGAAGTGCAACTTGAAAATATTCAAGGAAAAGTATGACTTAAAAGACTTAATGTGCTGGTAATATTTCCCAGGGTAATTGGGAAGGTTTTAATTAGCAACAAGTATGAACTTAATGTCACTTCTGAGAAATTCATGACATCTAAGTATCGTAGTCTTCTACTCAAGTCAGATGAAAGATGTTTTTAAAAACTGAAAATAAGCCTCCTTTCTGAATACACTGCAAAGATGCATGCAAAAAGGGATGTGAACAAAATCCCACGACAAATCCAAAGCATTCCAAAACCCAATAATGTGAAAAAGCCAATTTCTAAGACAGAGTTTTAAAAAATACCAGTGACCCTGATAAATGCCCAAAGAGATTCATGGTTTTAGAAAAGAGTCTCAGTTAAGGTCTTCATTTTTTGAGCCTGACAACTGTACCACATTATGACAAAAATTCCCAGAAAAGTTATAATTTATCTTTTAATTCACAGTTTGTGTCTGAACAGAGCATGCCTGAGAGTGTTTAGAACTCCAAGTTGCAACAATATCAGCCATACCAAAATTACAATACACTGTCTTCCTGCCTCTGCCCTTGTCTTTATTTACCTGAAGAAAAAAAAATCACGATAGTTTTCCTGACTAAGATGAAAAAATTGAGAATTCTCCAGAAAATATCTGGAGAACCCTTACTGAGGTTGAAAATGGCTGTGCTGGCATCAGACTTTTGCAGCGTCCATAATTCCTGTTCAGCATTGCACCTCATACTTGATCCTAGAACTGCCTTATGTGCTGAATTGTGCTCACTACCCATCTCTGTCTCCCTGTATCTAAACTAAAGGAAAAAAGAAAAGCGTTCAAGAAAGGATTCAGATTTAAGTGTTACTGTATTCCATGTCCTTTTCTTTACCTTGAAACATCAAGAGCCCTTGAACCCTTTTCCCTTCTAGAGATTCTGCTAAATCTCTAACTTTTCCCTAAGTACACACTTCATGAAGCTTCATTGTTAAGTAATTCTTCTTAAGTATTATTCAAATACTGCTAGTACTTAAATATCAAATAAATGCCCCAGATAAATAATAGTACTAATAAACATGAAGTAAAAGCAGTAGATATAATATTAAATTGTTTAAAAGTCAAAATAATTTTTCCTCTGACAATGCAATTTAAGTGAGATGACCTGTGTTATGAGTGGTGACATCTTTTATTGGAGCAGTAGGCACCAGCTTTGGGGCCTGGTTCCTCAAAGAGTACATATGAACTCTCTTTACAACTTCACTTCTTCCACCATCAGACTGTAATACTAAGAGATCTTTATTTAACAATAAAATATTTATAACACTTAAAGCCAGAGGTGACAACAAGTAAAACATATCTTTTTATTACTCTAATTTACAGCTTTACTGTGAAAATTAGGACTAGACACAAGACTATGCTGTGGCACAGAACTGCTGTTGCTGAATTTCTGTATCATCTTTGATTCTCTGGATTCTTAATGTAAACAAACATTTTTTTCAAAGTAGAATTCAAGTGAAAGCTCTGGTCTGGGAAGTTTGTTGTTCTAGAGCTGTGCAAATATAAACTGTATTATTATGTTTCAGTACTTGCCCCACTTGCCTTCTGGTAATTCAAAAGTACCATCTAAAATAAAATTCAGATATGGACTAGCATTTGAGTGTGAAGTTTCATTACTCCTTTGGGGGATCACCCAAAGGCAACAGGTCAAAAACCACCTGACCACACATTTTCTGGGGTCTCAACTGAGTCAGTGAAATTTAAATATTGTATAGACCAAGTGCTTTTCTAAATGCAGAATGATGCAATTATTCTTTTAATCATAATTCTGATGATTGTTACCTGAGCCAGCCCATCTTCCTGAGCCTGCAGTCAGACTCTGAAGTTCAGCATTTCAGTGAAGCAGGCAGACACAACCAACCCTACGGCCTCCAATGGACTTGTGTGTGTTTGGGCCTTTGGTCACTACAGGTACACAGCACTGCAAGCCCTTAACAAGTTGTGATTCAGCTCAGTGCAGTGCTTATTCCACTGAGTTATTATGGCAAGTGAAAAACAGGATATAACGCCGATGTAGTTAAATTTGTTACTGGTGAAAACAACCGTAGAAACTAAAACTTACTTGTCATCGTAAAAATTCAGGAATGAAAGGAAGCTGAGAAGAGTTATTAGGTGTTGGAGATAAAGTACCTCTCCCTGGTTTATTTCCATTCCCTTTGAAAAAGCACATCAAAGGGACAGAGTACAGAAAGCCAGTGAGGCCATTCTGGTTATTAAGGGTCACTGATCTCTGCCGTATCACTTTTAGCAACTCATGATTCATTAATTTCAGAAACATTTTTCAAAGGTTCTTGTTTATTGCTAACAGAAGAAAGCAAACACCTTTAGTTGCCTCTAGATAGAAAACTGGAAGGTAGAGAGCAAACTAGAACCTCTGTTTAAGGCTGTGGAAAAGATGACAGAAAATCTGCTTTATCTAATACGTAATTCTCCAAGAAATTATTCACTTTACTTCCTTGCCTATTTCCCACATGAAATCAAATGACATAAAAACAGTGCATTTCGGTTATTTACACCCTTAAAGTTCAACAAGAAATGTAAAGATTTATTGCATATGCATCTTCAAAACCTGAAAACATTAGTGATTTTTTGTGGTTCCATTTCAGATAAAGCAGAGCACACAGATCTGAGTTTGACTAACATGGACTGACTTGCAATTTCCTAGCCCAAAATCTTATGAAATTTTTTCCTGATCCTGTTAATGCTTGTCAGCTAAGTTAGCTGGCAGTTGTGCAAGTCTGCTCAGCTGTTTGGTTCTTTTTGTTGCAGAAGCCCTGAGTTATGAACCTGATCAAGTTCAAAAAATTTACCTGAATGCACTCCAAAACACATGGATATCTTTGAAGCTAAAGCTGGACTTCAAGATGCTGAATTGTAGATGTGGAATCTACATTTTATGTTCCTCTTGTATGCTCTGATTTTGTCTTTATCTGTCTGGAAATGTGCCCCCACACTGTTTTTTGTAACAAAGGAATATGTCTATCCACATATTCCAGAACCACCTAGAAAGTTGAACTTTCTAACAGCTAGAAAGTAGGAGCATAAGGTATTGTGCTATTTCAACACTTGAGGACATACAAGAACTTTAGTGTAAAAAAAAAAAAGAAAAAAGGTTCTTTGAGTTGACTATTTGAGAAAGTTGAAATATTACAAAAAATTATAACTTAACATTACAAAAGGTAACATTAACATTAAAAAAGAAAAATATTGATTAGGAACAAAACAGTTCATTTAAATTGTTTTGTAATTAATTCTTCTGGAAATTATATGCCAATTACTACTTATAGGAGAACATTTTTTGGTGAAAGATTTCCATCTGTTCTATTTGGCATAAGTCTTCTATTCACTCCCGTTAACTTAAGCAATGTAGAAGTAGTCACCAGAAAAAAAATGAACAAGCAAAAAGAAGAGAAAATAGATCAGGGATCTAATGCAAGTAGCAGTTAAAAAGAGGGGTACTATGGGGGGAAAACAGGAACAAAAATCAAGAAAACAAAGCAGAAATGCCAAAAGTAGACTGCAAAGGAAGTTACACTGTGGATACATGACAAAGAAAAAAACTCTGAGTGCAAAGGAATACAGATTGTCATATACGTTGTTAGGAGATGATGAATGTATGGAAACATGAGTTCCTGTTCCTGACACTGAAAGCCTGCTGGGGCAGCAGTATGTACAGGATAAAGCACCCAGCTACCCAGCAGAAATTTGTTGTTGGGCTAGATGCTGCACCAATATATCCAGCCACCAGGCTTCTGATCAGAAGAAGTTAACAGCATGGGCAGAGAAACTTCAGGTCTGTGCACCTACATGTCTGGGCAAATCCTAATAATCTTTCAAGAGCGCAGGCCTACTGTTTGCTACTAAAGCACCTACTACAATGATGCCAGTGCATTAAAGCTTACTATTTCTACTGTAAGCAATTACAAAAATTGCCCACATAAATAGCCAGTTAATACACTAGTATCAGACAAGACATTACCTTTATTTTTTCAGTCAAACCACCAACAAACAGCATGGCATTAGCGTCTACATCCAGAATGGTATATCCAGGTGGAGAGACAGCACTGAATGTAGCTGGCACAATGCTGGCTTTAGGACCGTCCAGAGCTCGCACTGATATTGTGCCATTTTTCCCAGTCCTAGATATTTTAACAAAATAATTTAAGCATACAGTCAGTAATTAAACAAAACATGGGAAAAGTCTGGTTTAGATGGCATCTTTTAACAGAGGCATGTATTACTGATTTGATTATGTTACATTTTGTTACAAATGTATAGACTCTTATGTCTAACTACTATGTAAGTTAAAGACATGATCACAGAAACAGCTTTCTTTCCTCACCTCAGCGTCCTTTTTGAACAAAATTCACTGTATAGACGAAGTGGAACTTTCATTGACCAAAAACAAAGAAGTTGCATTTTTTAAATTGCTGTGATGAAATTAGTGTTGATTAATTGCTTCTTGACATAACAAATTATGCAAGCAAGGTTCCAAATTAAATTTCTGAATTTCATAAGGTTTCTTAGATTATATTGGAACTGAAATAAATGATCATGTGATAAAACACTCCAATTTGCTTCACTGTGGTGCATAGAGTTTGCAGTTTCTGCAGTGCAGCTCTCTGGTTGCTTATCAAACAGGCACAAACCCAACTATGTTTAAGGATGTTACCTAATTGTTCTCTGTGAACCATATCAAATATTGATGGTAACAACAATGACAACAAAATAATTTACCATTTGTTAATATTCCGCTGCAGTTACATTTCCATTCCTTAGGCTATATATTAATGGCATGGAAAGAGTTTGCTGACATTTTTACAATCAAAGGAACAGAATATGGAGAGAGATGATTCCTCTTAAGTCTTTCTGGTATATAGAAAGGTATTTCAAAGTAAACCTGAATAATTTTGAATCCTTTGCAACAATTTGCTTAATATTACTTTCACTTCCAGCAGTATGGATAGTAGCTTTCCACAGGAAGCTTACTACTTACCTAATAGAAGTAAACTATTAGGCATTTATAGCCGCACCATATATTAGTGTTTCCTCCTAGACAGATGGACCATAATCCACACACATAATTTCCTTCTTCTATGACTATAGAAATAAGCATGGAGTGTGACCCCAATCCTGTCATGTGCAGATGAAGTATCTAGCATGTTCAATAATGTGGTGGAGTGGCTGGGAGATGAGGTAGCCAGAGGAAGATCACAGACTGTGGACTTATCGATAACTTCTGAAATTGCTGCTTTATGTCATTTTTAATAGGATTCTGGACTTCCCATGACCATTGTCATGCTAATTTGGAAATTCCTAACATGGATGCCTGATCTTGGAGTTGGACTAGATGATCTTTAAAGGTACCTTCCAACCCAATACATTCTATGATTCTCTGATTTTGCAACCCTAACTAGCACTGAAACACTCAGCATGGATATCAATATTACATGGAACTTTTCTAACTTACATGTTTGATACTTAATGCAGAAATACAGCATTTTAGATTAAACTTACTTTCTTTTTTTCATAACAGTTTGCAAAGATTACATACCCATCAAGAGTGATCCCGTATTTTTTAGATTATGAATTATAGTTTGCTGGCTACTTGATTAAACCCTAAAAATTACTCAGTACCTGTTCTCAAGCTAGATAAAGCAGATTTTTCTTAGAAAACAGATAAAATTCACCAAAAATTTCACCATGTAGCTTTTCTGGATGAAAAATTACATACTCATCCTACCAACATACCATCAAGGCACAGCCTTGTTGTAAAACAACAACAACAAAAACCCTTTGATTTTCTAAAGTCCTGAGCTTTGCTGCATGCAAAGACGCAAAATTCCTTTTTGTCTAATTAGGAAAAAAAATATTGGCTTGGGGTATTGAATACTGAGCAAACTAAAAGTTAAACACATACCTTTCAGAAAGAACTCTCATTTCTGTTAAATAAAGCTTTACTTGAAGAACTTAGATTTAGAGCATGGCAAGGAAGAGTGCATAACTTAGGCTACTGAATAAGTTAAATGCATACATTTCTATCCTGTACTTACAGAATTTCTGAATTTACAGAGTTTACTGGACCATGGCTCTAGAAAGTGGAAAAATCCTATAAAATATACATTTTATGTCTAAAATACACTCTTCCAAGATGTCTTTGGTTCAGAACCTCTTACTCCAAAAAACAGAATGAGTTGACAGTTTTCTTATGAAATAACATAGAACTGGAAAAAAAACACTTCAACAAAGAAAAAATAAATTAGTAGAGACCTTGCAGTTTTGATAAATTTCTCCTGAACTGTGAAGCATGGTTGCAAAGTAATTTTGATGGTTTCCAACCAATAGGAAATACCTTTGTAGATCGATGCCATCTTGCCTGCTTTGTAGTCTCAAGGCTTTCAATGTGAACAATACGTGTTTGCAAAAAACACTGGAGTTCTTCAATATCTTGATCTGGCAACTCTGGAAATCACATGGATGGGACTCTAGGTTTCCTAGGGAATCTCCTAAGTGACATCTGGGTTATGCAAATATGTAGTTGCTTCCAATGATTTTAACAAAGTGGGATGAAGCTGTCCACATTATTCTAATTTTTTTAAAAATTTCCTTTTAATGACAGTATTTTAAATTTTTATTCCAAAATCAACTGAATGCTAAGTCAGTACCTTTCTATACAGCATAAATTCCAAATTTTTATTTTGTTGTTTTTCAGAAGGCTTATTGATGCGAAGTCCTTTACAGGATAAAAGTTATCAATGTAGTAACTGATGAAAAACTAAGCTTCTAAAGACTTTTTTTTAAACTGCTTAAGTTTGATGCTCTCTGAAAGGAAGTCATTTGCACTTTCAATCTATATTGTGCTGAAATCAAGATTTGAGTTTAAAAAATCTAAGTGCAATAATGCAGAAGTCACTGAGCAGACTGACACTTTTTAGGGTGTCTAATATGTCAGAAATTGCACGGATGTCTTTCATCTTCAAACAGACTGAAATGATGGAGTCTCTTACATAAGTAATTCTCTCTCATTTAGTGAGGACAATTGAGCTTGAAGAAAGAACTTGGCTAACTTGACAGCAAAAAAACATTGCTAACCTGTGCATGACAAGTCATCAGGTTAGAAGATACTGCTCTAGCAATAGTCAATTCTGCAAAACTGGTGGATTATAGAAAATGTACCAGCACTGTGTGGTTAATCATCTGAAAAATTTACATAATGCATTGCATGCAGGGTTTGCTCCTTAGGAGACGCACAATGTAAATGAGATGACTTTTGCAAGTCATCAACATTAGATTACAAAATACCATGCAGAAACCTCTGCTCCTTGACCCCTTGAGAGCACAGAAAATCTTCATTGAGCCATTCAAGTATGGCTTACATTTGCCACGGTAGTTTAAGACCAAATTCTTGCTGAGCTGGGCTGGATGTTTCTACAGTGAACTTGCAATTCAAGCGTCCTTTGTCCTCAAAGGATGGCGGTTGCTTAAACTCTGTCATTAACAATTAAAGCAATGGTAATACTTAAATCACACTTGATTAAAATCACAACTAATCAGCTCCTGCTCCTAATAGAGGCCTGCTGAAGTCAAGTGACACTGTTTCACAGATCTAGTGAGCCCTAAAAATATTTTAGCACCCATTTGACTGTTTTACAAAATTGACTTTGTTTGCATGTTCCAATCCTACTTTAAATTATTTTGTTACATATTGTTATGCCAGATTTTCCTTTGTTAATTGATAAGTTTTTAAAATAACATTTTTAATTGATTGATTCCAGTTCTTGATTCCAATCAAGAAGCAGATAAGTAACTCTGTAAATGACATTGGTTAAATTCCTTACCATCAAATTACAGGGAATTCCTGCAGGAATAAACAAATTTCACTTCAATTCCATTAAAACATTAAAATATTTCCAGGATAACCTCTGCATAAAAAAATAAAATGCAAAGTACTAGTACACTTTAAATAAGAAAGTGAAGAAAATTAAAAGTGTCCCTTGAAAACAGACGCAGTAATGATCAATTCGGTCACAATACACTGGAAATTTTGGCACAGATGTTAACTGAAGTAAACATCTCTGATTATTACTCAACAGTCAGCTTTTTCATATTTAGATCTCATTCAGTATGCTGAGTGACATTGAGAATTCACAACCTCTGTGCCACCACATCCTCTCCTTTTAAGGCTCTTCAGGATCCTTGATTAAGAACTAATATCAACCTGTAAACCTACCATACCATTATTATTGTGTGTCAATGCCGGTAACCACTGAAATCAATGGCAAAATTCACCAAGGTCAGAATTTCATCTTATGTCCCCATTCTAAGTGGATGCCCTGCTCCAGCTGTTCAGGCAACTCTGTCAGGTTGCTGAAAACGTCTGTGGCTGGAACTGAGCAGAAATGTAGAGAAAAAAGGTGAGAGACTGAAATGAGCAAAACACTCCAACAGCTTAAGAAGAGAGTCTGAGGAGAGTTCTCAAATGGACTAAAAAGTTCAAAGTTGAAGAATCTTCAGTAGGTTATGTTATTTATGAAGTCTGCTTTAAGATTGTAAATACAGTCACTAGTTCTTCACCTTAATCTCACATATCTAAATAATGTCTCTTCAATGTAATTCTCCTAAACACTGCTCTGTATTTCAGATTTGTGCAGCTGTAATTGTCCTAAATTGCTGATCCAGCAGTTTGTTCAAAACTAATGGCATGCACACCCTATATATCCAGAACAACCAGCTTAATAGGCAATGTGCTTTTGTAGGATGTGTGAATTTTTATACCATGTCCTGGCTCCATATTCTGCTGAAGCAGCTTTCTCGTAAATGAAAGTCTGGCATTACTGTTTCATGAAGCTATTTTAGTATGCATAATATGAACTGGTGAAGATTTCAACAATTCATATTGTACCCCAGTTTGTATTTTCCTAGCAATAAGGTGTCATTAAGTCAGCTTCTGGAAATGGCACCATAATTTTACTTAGTTCTCTGCTCTGAATGGCTGATTTTTGTGATTTCGCTAAATTATTTAAACTGGATGCCATTTCCTTCTCTGAGAGCTATAGATGAAACTGGAATTAGAGTGCTTTGTTTTCTCTCTCCTTCTTTCTCTCATTTTCTGACTATATTATTGCTTCTATGTTTAATACTATGTGAAATTAACTGTAATGATGGAGGAAGAATTACTCAGCTTCATATCAAATTGCAATATAGATGATGCTAAATTAGTAAGATTTGTTCAGAAGTAGAAGATAAAGGATATAAAGTTATGCAATCCTTATGCTGTAATTACTACACCATATGTCATGTGTTTGCTATTTGAATGGAAAACATAAGCTTCAGCTAACAAATGTGAAATTTGAATATTAAGCTATCTATATTTCTGAAGTTCAAAAGCATTCAACAGCTGATCTCAAATTACAAAGTACAGTTTAACTTTCCAGAATGTTTCATCCTTGAGTTTTCATAAACTGTATCTTTTTAAATGTCTCCAGTTCGAAGAGACATTCTGCCTATGGAAATGGTGTTTTGAGTAAGAATCAAGATACGTGACAGACTATTCACTTGCAGTACTGTATCAAGACCAGATAGTCAGAAAAGCTGCTCCTCTTTGAAATTCAAGGAGAAAAGAATATTAGTTATCTGTTTGAGTGTCGTAACTTTTAACTTATTTTCAAAAGAGGCTACGTGAAGAAGAGAATTGATAGAGTGATAGGCAAACAGGAGGGAATATTAGTAGTCATAGATTGTTGATGCTAGCAGGGAAATACATGATGAAAATAAATTCTTAACACAATTCACATTTCAATAGTATTTGTAGTGTATATACTTCTGGTACTATTTGGCATAGGTTCAAAAGCTTTAATTAAACCATACTAGATTTTCTCATATTCTTGACATCATCTTTTTAAAAAAAGTTTGTTTCAAATGTAGCAAACATTTCCATGTACTCTTGAGGTATGCCAACTTGAGGACAGTGGATTAGAAGCAGAACTTGTTAAATTTAGCCATTTTTTCTTTAAGAACCACATCATGGAAGTGAAATATATACTTGCCTAGAGGCTTCAATCCGGTACCAAAACCCATCATCAATGGTCAGATCTGGATACTCTACCCGTCCAACACCAGATCCCACATCCCACAGGAAGCTCACCTTGCCTTTGCGCATCTCTATGGCCAAGAAGTCAGTCTATATGTAAAATATGAAAATAGAAGCAATCTCATTAAGGGAAGTTTTCCAGAATTCTTCACATTTCAGAAGGCCTAATGAGGCATCAGAAACCCATACACAGACAGTAAAGTATGAACACTACTTCTCACAGTGGTCTAAAATGAGATTATCTTTTTACTACTTTCGATGGCTCAAACAAGGAATCTTAAGCCAAAGATGCCAAACTACTTCTGTCAGAGATATGCAGTAAATGGCTACTAGACTTACAGAAATGTTGATACTGTAGCCATCAAGAGAAGAATTTAACTCAGAGTAATGTTGTTCGTAAAACATCCATTGGATGGCAGAAAGATGTCAGGCTTCTAGGCTAATGCATGATGCCATCTAGCCTCTTCATTTCATATTAGGTAAATAAAATATACAGTTCAAAATGTTAAAAATAGAATACTTTTCCCTTTTGCTGAATTATTATTGATTATTCTAGAAGTCTGCCTGCAATAGGGCTCATAGGAAACTGAATCATTCATCATTATTATGCTTGAACGGTAGTCTTGACTTAAAATCAAAATAAATAGGAGCTTTGACAGATGCAAAATGATTAGTTATTTCATTCCCAAGGTAATACCTCAAAGCAACCTCAAAATTACCCTGGTTGCACTGTGAATTTTAAAGCTTTAATGCAGTCCATGTAAAATCTCCCCTTTCATATCTAGTTAAAATTAAAAAATATTAAAAAATATTTGCTGCTTATATTTTAGAAGTCCCTATATTAATACCAAAGACAGTAAAAGTCTAGATTATCTTAGGCCCTCTATTACTGCTTTGAAGCATCTAGGAGGAAAAAAAAAGCCTTTTTCATCTTCTGTATTTGTCAGTAGTCCGATCTGATTGAGCAACTCTGACATGAAAAGCAGGAGACAGACTTACAAACTTGGCACTTCCAAGGTAAAAAAGCAGATTGTCAGCAACTACAGTCTTCACATTGACAATGACAGTGTTGTATGTTCCTTTCTTTATTTCTGGTCTGTATGTGCGAATACAGTTGCCTCCAGAGGACACGGACACTTTGATCTTCAAAAAAAGCACAGCAGAAAGAATTCAGTTTACTGCTTATTATTCCAGAATTAATGGTACATGCTTCCAAATAATACTACTACACTTTCTTTTTTTCTTCTTCCTTCCTATTTCTGTGTTATACATACCAGGGAGTTGCTTGGATATGCACAGGAGGTACAAATGGAATTTTCTTCCTGGGATTACTTATTAAAAGGCAATAAAAGCTCCTTCTGACATTCAGATTGGAAAGGATGAAATGTACGGATTAAAACCAGCTACAAGATACACTGCTCTAACACAAGCAGCAGCGGAATTCTAGCAGTACAGATAGTCTATAAGTGGAATGTGCAGCCAGGAAAATAAGCAGCACTCCTGAAGGAATCACAGCATGTTGCTATCAGGTAGACAGAATGATCTATATTTTCTTTGTAATTTCTTTGATTATGCCAATTTAAGACAGATTTTAAGAATTATTTTGAAACCAACAGTTGTGTCTATCACTGCTTTTACATAGCATCTAATGGAGTTTGTATTCATAACTAAGTTTCATTTTCACAGCCAAGTGACATATGCATTTGGATATGTTTGTGAGTTTGCTCATAGATTAAAAATAATATACTGTTTGTTTTCATAATGCTAGGATAGGCATAATGACAGAACAGTTATATTTCAATTCCAGCTAGGCACATTTATGTATTAAAGTAGACGTACATAATGGTATCACCTTATGATTAAGGCAAACTTTGTCAAAAAAGGAGTACCATTACATGACCAAACTCACAATTTCCCTATCTCAGAAATACTGAGCAGTCAGGTACTTCAAAACCTTCACAAAGAAGATGAATGTAACAAAACCATATCATCACTGTAACCTATCTTTCTATTTTAGGCAAATTTCACTGAGTATATGGAATACACATCTTTCACAGGATCCTATTATTCTGTAGAATATTTTTTCAACCATTTTTCAGGAAGTTTTCTTAAGTGCTATCTATAAGAATTCTTTTCCTTTGCTACATTAGGTCATAAGCTGAATAACCTTAGTATTAACCAGCTGATCTTCAAGTTTAGAGTATTACTGAGTCAGGGAGATGGACTCTAAACTCATTAAATGGACCAGAACTATACAACTCAACTCAAGTTTGAGTCCTCAGAACTGCTACCAGACAAAGAAAAGTCAAGAATACGGAAAAAGCAAATACACTCAGCAATTTCAATGACTTTGAGATGGTGTCATTCTCAGGTAATTTAAGTTCCATGAAATGAGATCAGGGGCTTAATATCAGTGCTGAGGAAAAAAAAACATTTTCACAAAAAATCAATGATGTTGTAACTCTTCTGCTGTACTATCAACCCAAAATACTTCTTAAATAATAACCTTTCCAGATACATTCTTACAGCTGTTACCCGTTTAACGAGAATATTTTTTAAATGAAGAAACAAGAAACAGAGTGAAAAATCATCAGACTATTCTCTGTTTATCTGAGAAATTATACTGCATTATTTGCTCTCTACACATATCTAGAATTAGAAAGCATTCACCTTGTGGAAAAGAAATAGAAAAGTAGGACATAAAATCTCATCAATACTCAAAAGGTCATCTTACTGAGAAAGAGGGCTTACCGAATTGGCTTGTTTCCGAGCTTGGTTTATCAGCTCTTTGATCTGAGAAATGTTTTTCCCTAAGTTATCCTGAAGTTCTTTGATTGGCTTGATTTTATCTAGCAGGCGATCTGCTTCTTTTTCCAGGGTTTTAATACTGGAATCTGCATCAGCAACTGCATAAGAAAACAAAGCAGAGTTTTAGAGAATAGTGTCAGAGACTAATTATACATTGCAATAATAAAATCCAAGAAAATTCTGCATACACACTACTCAGGCAACTGTATAGGCTAGTATGAGGTACACACAGATCAGGAAGCTACATGAACAGAGTAAGATAACTTAAGAATATTTAGAATCAAGTTAAAGCAGCAATAGTAGCAAAGGCAGGTGTTAAGACAGGATTTTGAAACAGTAACTATGCTTCAGGTCAGGATGATGCTAGTGGAAAATATTTCCTGTAGCAAAATACACTTATAAATTAAATACTTACTTTTTTAAAAACTCCAATTTTGAAGAAAAATGGTAATGAAATCTGGTTAGTTTCCATTAGTAAATTCTGAAACAGGGTTAGAATTAACTTGAACTTAATTCTTGAATTAACTATAATGGCCACAACTAGAAAAAGACTTTATTCTGGTCACAAGTTTAAAATTCTCTATGCATACTGAAAGCAGATTAAAAAACCAGTTGCAGTAAAAGGCAAATATTTTCTTTTTCTGATGAACTTAATAATTTCACAAGGATATTATTTCACTCTTTTTCTTTAAGATTCAAATGACTTTTTTGCCTCTCAACAAAGAACCAGTGAACAATGACTTCTCTTTGACAATTCATCATCAGACCTAAGAATTTAAACACCTGGCTAGCATGAGGGTATGGGTTTCTGTGGATGACACTGAAACGGGCAAACCTGCATTTACCAGAAGAATGTAGACTGCATGATGACGACAACAATGATAATAATAATAATAACAACAACAACAAACAACAACAACAACAATAATAATGCTTAGATAAAGCATGAATGTCTGGATACCTAGTTTCTGAATAGTCACCCAGACAACGATAGCAAACCTTCAAGGTGCTTCTTAAGGTTTCACATAAGTGAAACTAGTTGCCAAGCCACTTTACCTCAGAGCCTTCAAAAAGTAACTATTTAACTATTTCAATGAATGTGAAATGTAGAGCACCATGCAGAAGCTTTGGTGGTTAGCAGTGAATCATTGTTTACTGGAAAAGGCACAATACAAGCAGCAAGAAATAAATTGTACGTACTGATTTCTGTAGGCAAGATATAGAAACAAAGAAAAAAGAAAAAAACAGAAGATAACATAAGAAAATGTTTTGAAGAACAAAACACAAGTGTAAAGTAAATTAATAGACAGGATTGGTCTAGAAAAAGTTTATTACCTTTTAGATATTGCATACCTGCGCAATGAGAATTTAGATTCTGAAGGCTCTATGTATCTACTTCAGCATGCAGTCGTGAATGCCAGCATACTCACTGTATACATTTGGAGTGGTATACTCTGCATTTACATTAACCTTACTCTATGATCTGAGTATCCATTAGCAGTTGGAGAGTGGTAAGAGTGTACTTCTGGAGAACATCTTCCACTTAAGCTTTATTTGACATGAAAGAGTTTGCAAGTGTTAAGACCACTCCTCAATGTGAACCAAATAATGGTGACTGGGGAAAATCAAGAGATTAATTTATAAATTATTGCTCCTAATCCCAACTACAATGCTAACGTGTACATAGTTTTAAAATACTTGGGCTGGGACAGATGGACTGGTCTGGATCCAGCAGTGCCAAGAAATTACTGCTTTTAGGATGCTTCTCAGCTGTTTATTGCTACCCTGCCAGAGGTCATTACCTCATAGATCTGCTTGTTCCATGACATGCCGTAATCTAACCACACTATTTCAATCAATAACTACTTCTCATATTGTCTAAACTAGTATAGATCAGTCTGCCTGATGTGGATTATAGCTGGGGCTCACACATGTATCTTTGTATATGACACATGTATCATACATGTATCAACATGTATGGTTTACATGGGATCAGGAACTTGCAATATGCAGACAGTGACAGTCATAGCGATTAACTTCCTTCACTGCTACAGCTACAGTTTGCGGAGAATATTTGTCCATAGAATGAGAATGACAACCTCCTAAACTGGATACTTTTAGGTACCCAGCTTCATGAAGCTGACAGCAATATAGGGAGCCCAGGTTAGCTGAGAAATTAGTCCTGGAGTAATTTCATGAAGACTCTCTGTTTTTGTGGTCAGTCCTGGCTGATACTTCTATGTGATATGTTCTAGTAATCTACTATAAAATGTGTCCTAATTTAGAATTCAATTTTATCCATCATAACCAAAGGGAAAATGCTAAAGCAATGTCACTTTTGATAACAGAATTCACTCTCCAATAAAAAGCATACGAAAAACCATTCCCAGAATCTTTTTCTCTTTCTTCTTAAGTGCCTTCAGTGTTCTACCAAAAATAGTAATGTATATGAAAGAAGTCATGCATTTCTCCCAGAACTGATTATCTGACTGACTGAAGGCAGGGTTAGTGTGTGGAATTTTGCTTGAATAAAGGGGATGAATTGCCAGTCAGAATCTGTGATTATTCACCTCCTAAATACTTTAAAAAGTACTGTGGAACAAATCTATCCACTATATATTAATCTTGCTGACATTAGCTTTTTTCCCAACTACTAGCAGCAGCCCTTAAGATTTAAAAGTCCAGAAAATAGAAGTGATAGAGATTCCTTTTATTCCAGCATACTGTAGTAATGCTATGTGAGTGAAATTCTCGAGTGTCTCTGTTGCATATTAAGATGTGAAATTAAAATCACAAACTGAAAATACCACCACCAAACAACCCAAGAAAGATCTTACTGTTCTTGATAGGATCCTTCACAACAGCATTTGTTTTTGCCACGTCATCTGCAAGTTTACTGTAGTTGATTCTCAAACCCAGGAGATTCTGGTTGAGGTCTTTAATCTGGGCCAGGATGTCATTCGCAGTATCGTTGGCTTGTTTTGCTTTGTCTTTGGCTGCCTGTACTTTTATAGCTGTATCTGTAAGTATGAAAGGATAATGAAATGATTGCCTAGAATACAGAGGCTGCTTTCACACATCTTAAGAATAAAGTTGGGTCAAAATTCTACCATTTTAAATTGTGTTGTGCAGTTCTTTGGGAGCTCCTACTTCACAAGTAGTAAGACATTACAAGACAACACAAGTTGTGCTGGGCTAGGGAGCTACCAAATTTTCTGAATTCCTACAGATGGAAGGAAATGACCATGCAGAAACAGTCATGGTGGACACTCTAGCTTGCAAGAGAATCCAAGTAAACTCCTACTCTACCACCACACCATAGTGGAGTCACAGGACCCACAGGAACCTGCTTTGACACCTACTTCCTGTGAAACTGTCCTTGAAGTTGCTTTCCCTCTATGTTCTCCAAGGTATCTTCATGTCCCTTAGCCATATGAGAATTTTGGAGTGCAGCTCAGAAGTTTGAGCACCACTGAAACAACCATATAGAGATAGTGTCACCTGCCATACTGACTAGTTCTTCCTGTGGTAGTTCATGAAGTTAACAGACTGCATTACAGTAGTGGGGAAAGCGCAGGAGGTTATTTTCTTTCAATTTCTGACTAAGAGATAGTTGATAAAGAGTTAGTTTATACCAACATTTGCTTGAAGCAGATTACAGATTCCTGAGTCTATGACTGTGTGAAGACATGGGAAACACAGACATTTTCTCCATTTCAAGGGATCAACAGTAGATGTTTCCAAATGTTCTCTTAGGTAGGTCCTTCTTCTTCTGTGGAACATCTGATGCAATCAAGACTGTGGTCTAGAGAGCACATAATGTTTCCTAAGGCCATAGAGAATTGGTGGGTTTGTCCTGCACACTGCAGAGTTACATCACCCTTTTTTCTTTCTTGAGTAAAGATACATTATACCTGTGCTCCAAGCAACTCCACCCTTATTTCTGAAGTTTTGGCTCTGAAAAGCCTCTAAAATACAATAGCACCTTGAAAATACAACTGAACCTTTAATAAACCATTTTCATAATCAGTACTGACAAGTGAAAGAACAGAGAGCTCTGCCTTTTTTCACTACCTTTTTTCGTCATACCCAAGTATCTCTTTTAAAAGACACTGTTAAAGGTCATAAACTTTGCAAGCACAGTGAAAATTGGTGTGTTACTTTCCTCTATTGGTCACACAAATTATACTTATTTTCAGCAAAACTTTAAATTATGCACATGTGGGTCCCTCTCCTAAGGTGATCTGCCCATCTACCCCATTTTGAATCTTTCTGCTTTTATTTGGCTATTAGTATAGCATGGACAGAAGAATTATTAGTTTAAACTTCTCTCTGCTTTCTTGAATCCTTGAAGAATAAGATAAATGACAGGGTCATTTCCTCCCCCATCCGCACTGGTCATTTCCCTGCTGGACACCTAATTTACTGTATTTTCTTATCCATGCCATTTCTTTGCTCTGAATTGCACTCTTAATGCACATCCACTTGTTTATATGAGTGTCCTTGTCCCAAGAGCAAGCACCCTGTAACTCTAATCTGACAAGAGTTTATTACATTGCTAATGGTTGCATATTTCATATTTCTTTTACTTGTTTCATATATTTAGTATTCTGTGTCCTAAGGTCAACTGCCTTTAGAGGTCCATTTTTGTTTGACTGAGACATCTATCTGTGCACAGGAAGAAAAACAGTCATGTCAATACCTGTCACCAAAACCCAGGAAATGGCATAAGATGAGCATGACATTAAAACAAATTTTTGTGCATGCTTGATTTCAAGGATCACTAAATCTAAAACAAAACTCTCTAGTTATATGGAATCTTAAAGCCACAAAAATGTGCAAGATGAATAGTAAATTGTTTTTCATGCCAAGTTTTTACTTGCAATCTGAACCTTCCAGATCATCACAAATCAGACAGAATATAGATTTTTCTTTAGAGAATTTTCGTAAGGCATATCTTCAGTTTATAAAGTGCTCCTTAGAGAGGAAAGTCATAGCAAATTACATCGGTAAAAAACTTTTTATTTTCTAAAACAAACATTCAGTTTATCACTGACCATTATAATGAAACTATATTGTAACTCCCTGTCTCTCACAACAGTAGCTAATGTCCCAGGACTCTTTAAGAATACTTTAAGAAGTATTACAGATAATTTTAACATATTCTTTAGGCTATATAGAATTATGAATGTGCATAGCACTTCAGAGTTCTTTGAGGAAAGCCTGTTCCAGTTCTAGGCTATTTACCATCTAAAAAAGGTATAACACTGAACAGTGACTGAAAATGATACTACAGCATAAATCAATGAGAGTGTGGCAGAAAGGTATGATGAAACCCAGAAAATTTCATCCTGCTTTTTCTGTAAAGTCAGTAAGTCTTCATTCTTCTTAGATTAAATTATACTGGTTAAATTATAATGGTTCATTAAAAAGTAGTTTCATAAAAAGACTTTTCACATTTAAATAAAAGGCTATTTGTCTCAGATTATATCGTAATCCCTGCTATCATAATTCTTTTCTTTCTGCAAACTGCAGTAGTCTCGTACCTTTTACTGTGCCAAAATAAAAAGTGATACCAGCTATTGGTTTTCAGTTCAGTTTTCTCTCACGTTGCCCATCTTTGTCTTATAACAGTGGCGAATGGTCAAAGCAGACACAGTGTGGACACAGGCAAAGATTAATCAGACAGATGTTAAGTGATAGAAAACAAGGCAAAAGAGCAGGGATGAGTCAAGCATTGCAGCACTTTTCCAGCTTACCATTAGGAATGGCTGACAGCTTTCCAAAGGTTTCATTCAGAGCTCTCAGGAGAACGGAATTCTTCTCATCAGCATCTTTCAGCCTGTTCTGCATGCTGTCCAGGTTATCCCCCTTTTCTGTAAAAAATGCAGAGTACAGAAGCTTTAACTCTCTTTCTGCTACTCTTTCTTTGCACATAATTTAAAATACATAATAAGGAGCAAGGCATTTATCACTAAGATATTATATTGTGTAAATAAGGCAATCCAGTAAAACTGATCGTAGGGTTCATTGATAATCTGTTTCTTTCAATTTCCTGCTTCCATGGTATCTAAATGCTTGAGTTCCTTGTACTGTTGTGTACTTATCAAGGGTTCTCCTAGGGTGTACGGAGGAAAGAAAAAAATACACGGATTACCCTAGCACTCATCATCATTATGAGAAGACTCCAATAACAACAGGTTATTACGAAATAAACATACCAATTTTGGGGTGAAAAAGTCCACCTAGTAAATAAATCTCAAAGCTAAGAATTTGTTCAAACTGAAGAACTAGTGCAAATCAAAGGCACAGGTGTGTCATATTTAGTATATTACAAATGAAACTGATGTTATGCTTTACAGGTAAGTTCCTATTCTTCAGCAGTTGCTTTGAATAAAAATGATGAAGTTTTTTTGAACAGTATCCAGCAAAGCAATAATTTTTCAAACTCTCAAAAGTGAGATTCCAGCTAAGCTTCATGGCCATTTAAACAGATATTACTTCAAATTTTAGAAGTAAAGTTTGGCATAGAAAATGTCAGTTATGGCTTAAACTACTATCTTAGGGGGCATTCTTCATAATTTCTTCATATCAATATAGAACTCTTTTGAACAGACTGCTGGTAATTTCTTACCTTAAATGCATGCCCTACTGGGAAACTAATTCAACATCACTGTGCTTGATAGCAGGAAGAGGAGAATAAATTGTAGAAACAGAGTTCAGGATGCAACATATGACTGTGACCTTCAGATATGTGACAGGTTATTGAAAAGAAACATCTAGTTTTCAGATACTTATCCAAGTAGATACTGGGATAGGAAAACACACTGGAGATTAGATTTCTTGGTGAATTATAATCATATACTCGTCAAAAACAAAAAACATTTTTTATTAAGAGACAATATTTAGATGTATCATTGGTACTCCGGCATCTCCAACAGTATCAGGGCTGTAACTCTTTTGTGAAAGAATAAAGGGCTGTGGTCCACAAATTCTAAAATGCAAGGCTTCTTAAAACTAGATGTACAAGATGCAATTTGTAATTAGAAAAATAAAACAAAATGTATATTACCTATAATAAAACATTAACTAAATTTTTCAAGAGTACAGCAAGACTGAAATAGCGGATGGAATTTAAATGAGAATCATACTTTTGTTGTTAGACCCTTTGAAATGTCATTCAGGAAGAAATCCGTGTGCTTTATTTAAATCAGAGCAACACACAGGCCTGAAGGAATGCCTGGAAGAAAGTCTTCATTCCTGCAAAATGTCCTGCAGAGGAACACGACATTTGTGTGATCTTAAGAGGTACAGTTAACACTAAAGTTAGGAAGAATCATATAAGTCATAAGATCAGCCTTTTCAAACACTTTTACTTTTAAATGACCTGTTTCGTCTCACCGAAGAATGAGGCTACTGGCAATGTGATGTTGGTAGACTAGGATGAATTAATGAGATTCTGGTTTTAAATTCTGTGAGACTTTATCTGAGTTAATTTCTTGTTAAGCAGTAATATCAACAAAACTGTTTTAATTTCCTTCACTTAATTCTGAAATTATGGTCTGTTTGATAATTCCTTGGTGTCTCTGGTGCCTTTTGGAATGTTAGTGTTTATAAAGTGCATTACTATTTCTGAGATGTTTGATTAATTTCCAGCCGTGGTGTATTAAATTTGTTGCATAGTCTTAAATTATCTGTTTTTCTCCTGTTTACTCTGCCAGATCCAACATTATGCTAATTATCCTCCAGTTACAGTTCTGAAGAATCCTGTTTCCAGACTTCCGTTTTCAGCTTTGTAACCATAGCAGCAAACTGATTTTTATGGATTTTAATGAGGGAAGTTTCCTTAGAACTCCTGAAATTGAATACTGAGCCCCCACCTGTTTAATATTTTTTCTTTTAATTCCTCAAATACATTTTAAGTGTGCTTTTTGAAATACTGCAACAATAAAGACACAAATAAGTGCTCTAAGGAAGGCTCTTACACAAAGAGATGCGAGGACATACTAAGGCTTGTGTCAGCTTTTCCAGGAAATTGTTCATTTTGCACAGTGATATTAACATGAAGCTATATTTTGAAGTACCTTTCCATCCTGTAATCCAGATGCCCTCTTCACTAAACACTGAGCTAATTTTATGTAAGAGTCACAAACTGAACTGACTTAGCTTCAGCTTTTCCCCATCTTTCAATTATTAGCATTTCTGAAAAATGCCGGAGCTATGTTTTGAAGGCCTGGGATCCTCCAGTTAATCATAGAGGCTAGACAAAATACAGGCAGCTAAAATCTAAGTTTTTCCAAGCTACATAACTTATCTGACTTGGAAGAGGGTAGAGGGTTTGCACTGAAAGGTGTCAGGCACTGTCAATTCATGTTAAAGTGTAGGCTGAGGAGTATCCTGTGAAATTTATGTCAATCCTGTTTCGACTTGATTAGCTCTGCACAGAGATGGCACAGTATGCCAATCAGTGCACTGTTTATTGTTCAAATCAACAAAACTATTCATGCATCACTGAAACTAAACCCTAAAGTGTAAGCAGGATCCTGATGGACTTTGCAGGTATGAGCCTTTAGGTTTTATGGCTTAGTTAATATGAACAAAGATTTTTCAATTGCTCTTTAAATTTACATGGTTACACACAGCATAATGGAATAAAGCATCACTCGTTTTTCCTCTAAGTGAATAAACTGAAGTAAGTTAAATGAAAAAAATCCTTACACTCATGTTTCATTAAGAACTCACTTAAGAACTTAGTTAACTACCATTTATATGCAGTGATCTATTTTTACAAGAGACAAGTATTTATATGTGTCTGCAGATCACATACATAGGTGGTAATGTTTAATTACTGATGATGTGCCACCCTTGCAATGCTAGTGGAAACAGAAAGTATGATCAAGTGCAGTTTTCCATGTGAAACTGTACAAGAAGATATCATAGGGCTATGCTACCCAATGCATATTCCCCCAGAACCAAAATAATAGTGGAAATCTATCAAGGAGTAACATGTGCAGCTGATTTTAATGATTGGACACTGTACAAATGAACTGGCAGTTACACACATCCCTTTCTGTTATCTTTGTGTTGCTTCTTTCAGATAACATTCTTGCTCCCCACAGTCTCATCCAATAGAGAGGAAGATGAGTCACATGCAAAACTTTTTTCCCTTAAAACAAGCACGACTTAGTGTGGGTAGTTAGGGCCTGGCAGCCGGAAGATATCGTGCTGTACGGAAAGCATAGGGCCCCTCTCCTAATAGCCAATAGCGTTTAATTTACGACGTAAGCAGACGGATGTGATGTTGTAAACCCAAGCTATATAACGCCATGTCACCTATCAATAAACGCCATTTGCCATCCACCACATTGGTGTCTGCGAGCTGATGGCCCGCGCAGACCCAAAGGTGGGGTGGCCGAGCTGTTCCTGAACCAGGTCACTACGCCTCTGAAGGCAACAAGTGGTGCCGAAACCCGGGAAAGGCTCGCCGGGAATCGGGGAAACTGCCTGCATGGGTAAACGGCGGCTGGAGCGGCAGGACCAGCCCGGCGGGGAGGACATCCCGGACCAACAAGGAGGATGGAAGCCCTTGTGAAGGTCGTATCGCAGCTACATAAGCAGTGGGGTATAGATTGTACACCCAGAGATTTTACTCTCGCTGTGGCGAGTCTTTTAAAAATGGGGGCCATTGGCCAGCCGGTGGATATTCTCCACCCTGAAGTGTGGGATAAATGTACTAAAGCGTTAGCCGAGGAGACGATGTCCTCGGACTGTGGGAAACACCTTAACTCGTGGGGGAAGGTCGTACGGGCCTTACAGAGAGCTAGACAAGAAAAGGAAACTTGGAGTGCAGCAAAGAGCTGTTT